ACTGAGCTACATCCCTAGCCTCCCACAATAATTTTAGATTTACAGAAAAACTGAAGGCTGCTGAGTGTATGTATATAATTCCAGCACTCAAGGGCTGAGGCAGAAGGACTGCAAATTCAAGTCAAGTCCTGCCTGGAATATATGGTAAGACTGTGTCTCAAAAAAAAAAAAAAGGAAAAGAAAAATTGGAAACATATATGAACATAGTACAGAGTCCCTATATACAATTTCCCCTATTTTTTTTTCTGTGGTACTGGGGCTTGAACACAGGGCCTTCACCTTGAGCCACTTCACCAGCCCTATTTTTATGAAGGGTTTTTTGAAATAGGGTCTCCGAACTATTTGCCTAGGCTGACTTCAAATGGAAATCCTAATCTCTGCCTCCTGAGTAGCTAGGATTATAGGTGTGAGCCACCAGCACACAGCAACTTTTTTTTTTTTTGAAGTTTCAATCTTGTCCATTTTCTTTCTTTCTCTTCCTTCCTTCCTTCTTCCTTTTATTGTTGTGCTGGGGGTACATTGTGACATTTACAAAAGTTCTTACACTGTATCAAATATATCATACTTGAATTCATCCCCTCCATCAACTTACATTTTTTAAAAAAAGAGAGATAAGGTCTCATTTACTATGTTGCCTAGGATGCCCCTGAATGCCTAAACTTATCTTCTGCCTCAGACTCCCAGACTTTAGATGTATGCCACAAGGTCCAGTTTAACAGATTTTGTTTTGTTTTGTTCATCTGTTTGTTGGCAGTACTGGGGTTTGAACTCAGAGCCTTGCACTTGCCAGGCAAGAACTCTACCACTTAAGCCATATGCCAGCCCTTTTTTTTTTAGGCATTTTTCTTTTTTTTTTTTCTGATAGCATAGGAATTTGAACTCAGAGCCTCATGCTTGTTAGGCAGATACTCTTAACACTTGAGCCAATCTACCAGCCCTTTTTTTGTGAAGGGTTTCTTCAAGATAGGGTCTCAGGAACTGTTTGCCTGGGGCTGGCTTCACACTGTGATCCTCCTGATGTCTGCCTCCTGAGTAGCTAGGATTACAGGAGTCAGCCACTGGCATCTGGCTTGCATAGGCATTTTTCAAATAGAATCTTGCATTTATGCCCAGAGACATATACTTTAAGCCACTCCACCAGCCCTTTTTTGTGATGGTTTTCTTTTTTTTTTTTTTTTGTGATGGGTTTTTTCAAGATAGAGTCTCTCAAACTATTTGCCCAGGCTGGCTTCATACTTCGATCCTCTTGATCTCTGCCTCCTGAGTAGCTAGTATTGCAGGTGTGAGTCACTGGCACCCAGCTTGCACCCAGTTTTCAGTGGTGAAGGTGGAGTCTCAAGAACTATTTGCCCAGACTGGCCTTGAGCTTCATTTCTCCCAATCTGTGCCTCCCAAGAAGGTAGGATTATAGGTGTGAGCCATGGCACCCAGGTTCAATTTAACTGTTTTGAAGAGTATGGGTCAGGTATTTTATAGGTTCCTCACTATTGGAATTTGTGTGATGTCTTCATGATAAGACAGACCTTAAGGTTATCGGGAGGAAGATCACAGAGTTAAAGCACCGTTTTCATCACATCATATCAAGTGTACATACTGTCAACATGACTCTATGACTATGATGTTGGCCCTGATTATTGGGCAGAAGTAATGTCTGTCAGTTTTCTCCACTGTTAAGTCAGTCTTTCCTCTCCACTCCTTTTTCATCCTCTCTCTTTCCATACTGTACATGTCATTACGTGCAACCTAACACCTAAGGAATTCGGAGTTATGTGTTATCCTTGCCCTTTCCTTTTTGACTAACTCATATTATTCTGACATTTCTCTTTTTACATGTCTTAAAGAAGCTTTAACCAGTAAATCATGTGGGGCTCACACGTTTTCTTTGAGATGCTAAATTCAATCTTTAATCAAAATCTATTGATCATACCTTCAAAGTATATTCAGAATCCAGCAATCTTTCACCACTTCTGTTGCTACCATTCTGGTCCAAGCTACCATCAGTCTCTCAGCTAGTTTATTGTAGAACTTTTCTAAATGGTCTGCCCTTGCCTGCTTTCTAACTTGCTTCTGTCCTTGCTTTTCTTCTTTTTTCTTTTTTTCTTCTTTCTTCTTTCTTCTTCTTCTTCTTTCTTCTTTCTTCTTCTTCTTTCTTCCCTTCTCTTTTCTTCTTCTTCTTTCTTCCCTTCTCTTTTCTTCTTCTTTCTTCTTTCTTTCTTTCTTCTTCTTCTTCTTTCTTCTTTCTTCTTTCTTCTTCTTCCTTCCTCTTCTTTTCTTCTTCTTCCTCCTCCTCCTCCTTCTTCCTCCTCCTCCTTCTTCCTCCTTCTCCTTCTCCTCCTTCTCCTCCTCTTCTTCTTCCTCTTCTTGCTCTTCCTCTTCTTCCTCCTTTTCTTCTTCCTCTTCCTCTTCTTTCTCCTCTTCTTCTTCTTCCTCTTCTTTTTTTGTGGTACTGGGGTTTGAACTAGGTTCCTTGCAGTTAGTTAGGCAGATACTTTACCAAACCTTAGCCATGCTTCTAATCCTCAGTCCCCTATTTAAAATCTATCAGTAGCTTCCCATCTAACTCAAGAGTATAACCAAGTCCTTATGGCCTGTACGGCCCTATGTGGTCTGTCAAACCCTCCTAACCCCTCAGTTCTTTTTTGTTGGGGGAGAGGAGGTAGTTCTGGAGTTAGAACTCAGGCCCTTGAACTTGCTAGGTAAGTGCTCTACCATTTGAAGCACATTCTCGGCCCCTATCTCAATTCTTCTGCCCACTCACTCTGCTGAAGATGTACTGGCCTTCTGCTCTTCCTTGAAGTTGCTAGGAAGCTCTCACCTCAGGACCTTTGCATTTCATATGTCCTAGAGTGAACATTAAAATGTAGCTGGTGGAGAGGCTCAAGTGGTAGAGTGCCTGTCTAGCAAGCATGAGACTCTGAGTTCAAACTCCAGCACCACACTTAAAAAGAAAAAAGGGTAATTGCAATGTTCTGCTGGGCACTGATGGCTCATGCTTGTATACCTGGCTACTCAGGATGCAGAGATCAGGAGGATCAGGGTTCAAAGCCAGACTAGGCAAATAGTTCGTGAGACCCTATCTCAAAAAAAAAAAAAAAAAAAATCACAAGAAAGGGCTGGTGGAGTGGCTCAAGGTGTAGGCCCTGAGTTCAAAGCCCAGTGCCATAAAAAAAAAGTCACTTAGATCTCTCTAGAAAGAACTTGCCAACTGGTTGCCAAAGGGGCTATCGGTTGACAACTTCTTACTGTGGCCTTTGGAATCTGCTTTAGCTTTGATGCTTGCTTTTTTTGGTAAGCCCTAGATGCTCACTAAGCACAGCAAAGGTTTTAGGGCCTAGCCAATTTTGCCTAATGTGGGATCCCTCTAATCCCTTTAATGGGCAATCTGCTCTGTAGCTCACTGTTTGGTTGGCCAACAGTTTGTCAGACATGCATTAGTGTCTGGGGCTCTTCCTGTTCTCATACCAGTGTGAGGAAATGGCCATCATTTCCCTTAAAATGTGTTCCCTAGATTCAAGGAATTTTTTCAGGAAGGAGAATAATACTCTACAGAACATGTATTTCTTGGCTAGTTTGATGTATTTTCAGGATAGTGTTTTCACTTTTGAAAGAATGGATGCTTATTCCAAAGACAACAGCCTACAAATGTAGCTCAGACTTCAAGATACTGCCATATTGCACAAGAAACTAACAAAAATAGAATGCTGAGCAAAGGAAGTGGCATTTAGAATAGTAAATGGCACTATCTGTGGGATATTTAACCTTTTGTCCTTTGTTGAATCAGGATAGTAACTACTTTGTCTGTTAGGAAAATCCTATACAGTCAGCCCTCTTTACCCAAAGTTTGTGCATCTGCAGATACCAACCTCAACCAACCTCAGATTGGAAATTTTCTAAAAACAAAAAAGTGTTCAGACTTGTTTTTTCTTGTCATAATACAGTATAGTGATTTACATTGTATTAAGCATTATAAATAATGATTGAAAATACACATAGAGGATGTGCATAACTGTATGCAAATCTGCCATTTTATTTGAGGGACTTGAACATCTTCAGATTTTGGTATGAGGGAGGGGGAGTCCTGGAACCATTCTCTTATGATACTGGTAAGGCATAATTACCACATTAGGAATGGTGCAGTGGAGCACATCTGTAGTACCAGCTACTAAGGAGGCTGAGGCAGGTGGATCACTGGAGTCCAGAATTTGAGACCAGGCTGGGTAACATGGCTACACCTCAGCTCAAAAGAAAAACAAAAATCTTGCATCTACTTGTAATCCCAGCAATCTAGAGGCTTGAAACTGGATAGTGAGTTCAAGACCAATCTGGGCTACATATGGAGACCAGCTCAAAAAAAAAAAACCAAAAAAACCAACCAAGCAACAACAACAACAACAAAAACAAAACGGTATTAGCTGTGGAGATAATGAGAAATTATCAAACCAATATTAATACTATATATAAACTATCACAATTATGTATAATACAGAGGCAGGTAAGACTTAGGGAAAGTTCGGGATTGTTAGATATATGACTTAATTTGTATTTCGGTTTGAACAGTCTTCTCTCAGAGCCTTCAACTACAAATGTATGTAGGTTAACCACCCTCACCTGTCCCAGGGACCACCCATGCTGCTCCCCACAAATGGATTATTGATTAGGAATCGCCAAGTTCTTTCCTTCCCTTAGGTTAGTGGAAATTTTAAAAGCACCCAGAAAACTCTGCTTCCAGCTTCCCCCTAGTCCCATCATGCGCTTTTGTAATTCCCCTCCCTAACTTTATTTAACTCCATTACACCCACGTGTCTTGCCATAGATTCTTTAACGTGGAACACAAAAAATTTGGAAATATTCTGATCAGAGATTACATCATTGCAGTTAACAATACTAATATTAGTTGTGAAGTAAAATGGCTTATAAATCTAAGTCGCATTCTTTTCTGCTCAATGGGATTTTAAAAAATTCTTCAACAGTAAAGAATTTTTTAAAAAATTTATTGAGAGGAGAGGATCCTTCATAGGAAAGCAACTAGAAGAATTTTTTTTTTTTTCCCGTACTGAGGTTTGAACTCGGCCTACACTTTGGGCCACTCCACTAGCCATTACTTAAGGGTTTTTCGAGATAGGATCTCCGAACTATTTGCGGGGACTGGCTTTAAACTGCGATCCTCCTGATCTCTGCCTCTTGAGTAGCTGGGATTACAGGCGAGAGCCACTGGCGACAGGCATAAGAAGAAATTTACGCATTCAAGTATAAGCTTTGGAAGCTGATCACTGGTCTCTAGGCCGCCAATCAGTGCAGCAAACACTTCCGGCTTCCTCTAGCTCCGGATGTTCTTATTGCGCGTGCGCGAGGCCCACCTACCCCGGAACTTAATCTTCTACGAAATGCAGGTTTTAAATCCTTGGAATACTTATCCAGGAACTACGTTAGCGCTCTCAATTCTCCAAAGAGCCTTGGGATTGGTCGAGCGCGGAACTGATTCAGGGCTATGATTGGTTGACACACTAGCACGACGTAGCGACTTTGCGTAACGCCTTGGGCTCCGCCCTTGCTTCCTGACTGGCGGAGTTTCTAACCACTCAGCAGGCGCGGCGCGTCCTTTGGTTTCTCGAGAGGATATTTGCCGCCTCGGTTCCCGCGACCCCAACGTCCCAGAGGCGGGGCCGGAGCTAGCCGAGGTTCTCCTTGGAGCCCGCCTCTGTTTTGGCCCAACAAACAAGACTCCATCCTGACAGAGGTAGTAGCGAGTGGGACTTTATGCTCCTGGTTTCCCCGAGGGGCCGGCGCGGCCCGAGGAAGGAAGGTGGGTAAACATTCCGGGCCCTGTGATGGGTTGAGTTCAGTCTTCCTGGGGCCGATGGTCGGAAGGGGAGCTAGTGGGAGAAAGTGGGCGCACCACGTATTCCCTTTTCTGTTAACGTGAGTGAAAGAGGTTTGCAGTCGACAACGTGCCATTTAAAGTTGTTTTTACTAGTGGGAAATTGAGGACTGAAATCCCGAATCCTCGCCCTTGCGTTACTGCAGTCTCTGGCTCAGTTAGTGTTTGAACTTGTTGAGGTGGTGACCTCACCGTGGTGCGGACCTGGTAATGGGCGTTAGCTTGACGTTCTCAGCAAACAGGGCAGGCAGCCTGTGCTAAAACAGGGACTGCAGCTAGTTCCGTTTGAGAGGTAAGATGGTTGGAATACCAGGGTGGGGTCGAATTGTGAAGTGTCTATTTGTTTATGAAAGACAGATTTATATATATGAACACCCTTATATAGCAACACTGGGGGTCGTTTCAGTAAGTCCTGTGAGAGCTATTGAGGTCTGCCAAGATGATGGAATGGAAAGAGACCCGATGGTTTTCATTTGCTACACTGAAAGCACTAAAGAGAATATGTTTTTCTAGGGATAGGTGTTTGTAATTCTGGGACTAGAACTCAAGACCTTGCACTTACTAGCCATACCTCCAGCCCTTTAATTTTTTTAATTGTCAGAATAAACTACTTTATGTAGATTGCTTAAAAATGAGAAATGGATCAACATTAATCTTTTCATGCATAAAGGAAAAAGAGATAGTGAGGGGAAATGACACTTTGTATGCTTTGTAGAAGTAGAGTTACCAGTCTGAATACTGTTATCCATGGCAACCAAGTGCTGTAGAAGAGCAGTAGAGTTTAAAGCCTGCATTCCACAGAAGCTGGGTTAATCTTTGAAGTTGTTATCGCCAAGAAAGATTTTTTTAGTCAACCTTACCAGGGCACATTCAATAGAGTTTTGTTCTCACAAATGTTTCCAGTCTTATATTTTATTGACGTCTTTTCTAAATAACTTTTGCACCCACATTAGTAATATTTCTTTATCTTGCTTTAGACAATTCTTTTTTGCTAGAATTGAAACAATGTGTTAGAACCAAAAAAATTAAAGAATAGACTTAAATTCTAAAAAAAAAAAAAAAAAAAAAAAAAGACTTAAACAATAAAGAAAATACCTAACTGTAAAGAAAGGATTATGAGGTTTGTATTTTGCTTCAGTAATATTTAGATGAAGCTATCTAGTGGGCAATTTAAAATGCTGAAGGTTTGCTGTGTTTAATGGGCATGCAAACAGTGGGAGTGGATGAGAGTACCCAGAGAGCATGTATGCGTGAATCGAAAGCAAAAAAATAAAAAAGAAAGAAAGAAAGAAAACCTGCTTTTTCACTAATAGAAGACAGTTTGGGATACAGTATTTTTCTTCCATTACCACAGGATTGAAGATTCCTTGATGACTTCCTTATAGCCCAGTTTAGTCCCACATTTTCCTATCTACTACTTATGGTTTTGTGAGGATTTTGAAGTCTTCAGTAAAAGTTCTCATATATTAACTAGCACCTGTCCTACTGAGCTCACTAAGTTGAAATTGATACAAATATTTCAGGGCAAAATCTGTGCTTTCCTCAATGAATATATATGCCAATTCATTTTGCTGCCTAAAGTAAGCATTAACATTAATTTATAGGTAGATGACTTTAAAGTATGAAAAGGATCAGCAAAATCTACAAGCATTTAATCTTATTTATAGTCACATTTCATATAAGTAACCTAATTTGGCTTGTAATTTTGTTAATACGTGGTTAAATCATATATCTTCTTACTCAGTTTTTTGGGGGTACAGGGGCTTGAACTCAGGACCTTCACCTTGAGCCACTCTACCAGCCCTATTTTCTTGAAGGGTTTTTTGAGATAGGGCCTCTTGAACCTTTTTTTTGCCTGGACTGACTTTACACTGTGATCCTCCTGATCTCTGCCTCCTGAGTGGGTAGGATTACAGGCATAAACCAGTGCCCACCCTATTCTGTGTTTTTATCGTTAGTAATATCTTTTTATTTTCTTAGGATACTGAGGATTCAAAGTTAAATAATCACTCGCCAAATATATGGAGCCTGTTTGTCCTCTTTCGAGGTTCCAGATGAATACCAGGTAAATAGAATTTTTCCCTCCACAAGACAGATTCTCACCATGTTACCAGTCTGGTCTCAAACTTGTGGACTCAAGTGACTGCCTCAGTTTTCTAAGTGCTAGGACTTAGAAGTCCTACTCCTAATATAGAAATATTTTCAAAAATTTGTTTTGTGAAAATGTCACTATTCCTGATACAGAAATATTTTCACAAAATTTTTTTCGTAGCTACTGACATTAACTTGGAAAGGTAGGGTGGAAGAAAAGAAAATATAGTCTTCAGAATCAGAAAAATTTGGGGACTATCCTATCTATTACTACTTAATAGATTGGGGAACCTTAATCAGGTTAATTAATTAAGCCTTGGTTTCTTATCTGTGAAATGGGGATGATAATCTGTTTTACAGAAGATTATTGTGAAGTGCTAACTAAGATTATTAAACTCAGGGTCTGGTACACAGTAGCCTCTTGGAAAATATTAGTTCCTTTTCCTTCTTATTTTAATTACTTAAGAGATCTTTTTTTATGTGTAGTAGTACCTGAATTCATTCCTATGAATGACAAAGGTTTTTATTTACATCCTAAACAAATGGGAGAGTGACAGGATTCCTTCTTTTTAAATACTGATTCCTTAATGATAATCATTTCACATGGGTATTCCAAGTTTCTTCAACTGTCCCTAAGCCTTTACTATTCATGTGGAGTAGGAAGGAGGAGCTTACCACCTGTCTTCGTATTTTCTCAGTCTGTTATTAGTTGGGAGGCCAGGCAAAGTGGCTTGCATTATTGGGCTCTTTGGATCATTTTTTTCCACTAGGGAAGAACAGGTAATGCTGACATATGAATTTTTTTTTTTCCAACCGTAATTACACCCATGGGGTACTTTTATTCTCCGTATTGTCTTCTTTTGTGCCAGATGTTCTTGATTAGACAATGGGAAACATGATCCAAGGAAGCTATCATATTTCTTTTAATTTTGACCCTTCTGTTGTACCCCACTGCCACCTCTTTTTTTTTTTAACTTTAATTTTATATGTTGTGGCAGTACTAGGGATTGAAGCAGGGTGCTAGGCAAGCACTGTACCACTTGAGCTATATCTCCAGCTGCTTTTTTTCTTTTTTTTTTTTTGCTATGTGGCTAGGGTTGGCCTGGAACTCATTATGTAGCCCAGTCTGATTTCAAACTTGAGATCTTCCTGCCTCTACCTCTTGAGTGCTGGAAGTGTGCACCACCATGCCAGGTGCCACTTGTTATTCTTTGAAAGTTTATCAATTTCTGTTCTTTGAAAGGTATAATTGTGTAACAAATTCAGCAAATTTTATTATCAGATTGACTATGGGTCACATTCATTCCTTACATGATATGTAAGATATATGTACTCATGTGATTTAAGCTGGTTATTCTTTGCATATATTTTCTTTTACTTATTTACTGACCAATTTTCAGTAATCTCTGTCATTTATGGCAGTAATTGTGACTCATGTATGTGTATTGGAAGGGGAGTTAGGACCCTTTGAATATCTCGTAAGAGCCATGCCTTTTATTCCCTAAGAAAAAACATACATGCATGCAAAATTTTGTACCCAGGGTCAGAGTGCAACTTTCAATTTGTGTCTTCCCTGCCTCCAAAGTCTGCCTGTAGACTCCGGAGTAAGAAAAAGACTAATAACTGCATTAATTGAAGTTTTGCAATGCATTGTGCCAGGTGATGTGTGAAGCACTTTTCCATTCCTATTTTATCCTTACAGCAAGCTTATGAGATGGGTACTATTATTCCCACCTTTTCTTTAAATGAGGAAAATATAGCATAGAGAGATTACTCAACCATACTCATGCAGTTACTAAGTGGTATAGCCAGGATTTAAACCTGATGTGACTTCTACCCTGCAGTGCTGAGGAAGTAAACTTGAAGCATTGTAGGTTGGGCTTTAAAGGTACTTTTCTGTGTGCTTTAATTTTAATTTTTTTTAAAGGTTTCCTTCAAGCAAGATGGTACCTTTCCACTTTCCTCCATCAAAATTAGCACTTTGGAACCCAATACCAATTGGAGATATTGTCTACTTACATCTCAATTACTACAGGTATAAGATGTTTCTTTTTTCAAATCAAACCAGTATAAATATGAGTCATAAAAGAATGTGTAAGGCAAAGTTGGTTATTATGACCAATTAAAAGTTGAGCATCTCTAATCCCAAAATTCAAAATCTGATATGTTCCAAAATCCAAAAGTTTTTGGGTGCCTATATTATGCCACAGGTGGAAAATTCTGACTCACATATACCAAGTCACAGTCAAAATGAAATCAGGCTTTGTGTATAAAATGTTTCTAAAATATCAGTTAATTTCATGTTTAGGTTTGGATCCTATCCCCAAGATAGCTCATATATGTGCTAATATTTCAAAATCTAGAACCCTTCTGGTCTCAAGCATTTCAGATGAGGAATGCTCAACCTATGTTCATTTTTCTTTACTGTCCCACAAAAAGCTCCCCTCAGACAAAAATTACATCTGCCATTTCTTAAATCTTTTCCTTATGCTTTTGAGAAATAATCTCAAATTTCACATTCAAAATATTCTACAAATTTAAAGTTCTGAGTATTGTAGGTATCCAAAAGAGATGAACTACAAAAACTAAAAATGCTTCTCATCATACTTTACATCAAATATTGAGAAGATTGAACTGATTTTGAGTAGATCAGATTAGAAGGAATATAAAATATTGTGGTTCTATTTAGGACCAGGAAGAAGTTTAGATTTAAAGTAGTAGAAAATAGATCCATTGAGATTTCATATATAAGGACTTGTTAAAAGCAATATTTTAAGAAGAATGGATTATGATGTTAGGACCTAGCTATGATACGGTTTTCTGTAATCTCATAGATTTATGCTACTGTGGTTTACGATAATTTATCAGGAGTCTGCCTAGAGTGTTAAATCCTGATTTTTCTCCTTCTTATTTATGTGACCTCAATATTTATAGTGGGGTGGGGTGCTGATAATTGAACCCAGGTTCCTTGATCATGCTAGGCAAACACTCTACCACTGAGCCCCCCCCGCCCTCCGTCCATTCAGGTTTTTCAAATTTGGAAGTACATACACCATATATATGAAAGAATGTTAATAATACATATGCTTAGTGTATAGAATAATAGTAAACATCTGTGGACCTGTTTCCAGTGAATTACTATATAATCTTTTGAATTTTTAGTTGATTATATTTTATTTCTGCAAGTTCTGAGTACTTTTTTTCAAATTTGTCTGGTTTTGTTTTATAGATTTTTTTGTTCCTTGATCATTTTGGCTTCCCTCTTATATTTCTTTAAACATTTAATCATTTTTATATTCTTATTCATTAGTGCTATTTGAAGTTTATAAACAATATGTAAACATATGGATGTGACTGTTCCAATAAAACTTTATTTACAAAAACAGATCAGCCTCATAATTTGTTAATTCATGCTCTGGCTTCTAAAGTAGGCAGGTGCCTAGAGGACACTTGCAGTTCTGAGTCAGCTTACTGACATTATAGTTTCCAGGTGACCCTCTCTACCCCTTGCCTTTGACCTTGGGATTTCCTGATAATCATCTTTGTGTACATGTTAAAAATTGTGTGTTACATTTTAGGCAGCATTTCATAACAAGCTGTTTTAGGACAGCAGATTCATCACATTCATAAAAGACTTCCATTATTTTTCAGAAATCCAAAGCTTGTGGTGACTAAAAAGACCATTAGACTTGCTTATCGTCATGCTAAGCAGAATAAAAATGTGCTGTGCTTTTTACTTGGTTCTCTTTCAGTGGATGAAGGTAATACACTTTTTAAAAATTAATTATATGACTATAATAGAATTTACATTTATTGATTCAGCCAGCTATAGTATGTACTTTTTGCTAATTTTCTTTTATATATACGAAGGATATGAAGACGAGTAAAACTACTCATTGCAGACTTCACAATATAGTTAGGTGGAAGACTATACAAGCAAGCCATCTTCTGTGTGTTGGGTGGGGGGAGGGGCACTGGGCATTGAACCCAGTGTCTTGTGCTTGCTAAGCAATCACTGTACCAGTTGAGCTATGACCCCAGTTAAACCACTTTTCAGAGGAAGATTTTTAGTATACTATTGGTGTGAACAAAGTGTTTGCTAAAATATAGTCTTGCTTGGCTGATTTATGTTATATTAGCATGCTACATAATCATTGTTATTTTTGATCTTCAGATGAAGAAGGTGTGACATTGACAGTAGATCGCTTTGATCCTGGTCGAGAAGTACCTGAATGCTTAGAAAGAACCCCCACTGCTTCTCTTCCTGGAGACTTTTTGATCCCATGCAAAGTTCATACTCAAGGAGTTTGTTCGAGAGAAATGACAATTCATAATGCAGATGACTTCAGTTCAACTTTTAAGGTGAAATTCAATGGTAGCTTGCTTGATTTATTGATTGATTTGGTGGTACTGGAGTTTCAACTCAGGGTCTTGCACTTGCTAGGCAAGCACTCTGCTACTTGAGCCTCAACCCCAGCCATTCTTCTTTTTTTCCCCACATTATAAGTATTATTTAAAAAACGAGATGAAAACACTTACATCATGTCCCAGGGCCTGGAGGAAGTACTGGTGGAGCTCCAGGGTATCAGCCATCAGTCTTAATTCAATACAAGAATCGTACTGTATGGGACAGCGAATATGATTGAAATACTTCATATACATGTTTGAAGATAGAATAATGAAACTTGTTAAAATTGCTTAAAAAGGAGAAGAGGGAGATAAGAAAGAGTAACATAGGAGGTCAGTTTGATCAAAGTACTTTATATGTGTGTATGTAAATATCACAATGAAACCTTTGTACAATTAAAATACACTAATTGAAAAAAGAGACAAAAGACTGGATAATGTGGGTCATGCCTATAATCCCAGCTACACAGGAGAAGGAGATTGGGAAGATTGTAGTTCAAGACCAGCCTAGGCAAAAAGATAAACTACATCTCAACCAACATGCTGGGTGTGGTGGTGCATGCCTGTGGTCCCAGCTATGCAGTCAGCTGTAGGTAGGACGATCATGGTGTAGGCTAGCCCTGCTAAAAGCACAAGGCCCTAGCTGAAAAATAACATTAAAAGCAAAAAGGGCTGGAGGTATTGTTCAAGTGGCATAACCTCTGAGTCAAAACCCCAGTACTGCCAAAAAAAATTAAGAAAAAAGTCATTTTATAGATTATGCAGTATTTATTTTTTTTTTGTAACTAAAAGAAACTATTGCTAAAGTTAAATATATTATTACAAAAGCAGCATGCATTTATTACAGAAAAACAGAATCAAAGATTGATAATCATATTGACAAGCATTAAAAAAGCAATCTTTCCATTCAGAGATAACCATATTAACTACATTGACATAGAAAATTCCAGATATTTTACAGTGCACGTGTTTTTAAATAAAAATAGGAGCATATGGCTCATGCTGTTCTGTAAATTGGTTTTCTTTTACCTAACAATGTATCATAAAATTGTCCCATATTAAATATTATATAGAACATCATTTTTATGTTACTAGTCCATTGTGTTAATATCATTTCTTTACTAAATCCCCTATTGTTAGGTGTTTATTCAATAACAGTCATCCTTGTGGAACTAAATTTTCACATATATCCGTAGTTAATTTGCTAAGACAAATTGCTAAAAGTGGAATTTCTGGTCCAAAGAGTTTTCACACTATAACACACTATGCTATTTTCTCTCTCCCCTCTTTTTTGATTGTTTTTTATTATTTTTAGAACTCACATGTGTAATTCTACCCTCCCCACCGCAGTATTTCAAAGTATTTGAAAGATAGTCATAAATAATTTCTCATTGAATTTTTGTGGACCTATAATCCAATTAAATGGTTTCTGAGGATAAACATCCTAGGTATGTAGTATGTGTAGCATTCCAGAAGAAGAAACAGTGTGAACAAGATAGGAAAGTTCAAGGTGTAACTTTAAGGGTATAGATTTTTGCTGTATTTGTGAGCAGTTGGACTGGAGTATTAGTTTGGTCAGATTATGGAGAGCCTTGTCTACCAGGCTAAGGAATTTGGACTTTCTTATAGGGACCATTAAAGGTTTCTTACAGTGCTGAGGATGGAACCCAGGTGTTTTACCACTCCACTATATCCCCAGCCTTTTGTTTTGCTTTTTTGAGTTGAGGCAGGCTGACTGAAGTCAGAGAGAGAAGTTAATGAGACCATTTGCAGTAGTAGTCAGACGTGTATTAGAGAGGATGTATTAGCCTATAATAGAGTGGTGGCACTAAGATTACAACAGAGGACATGAGCAAATACAGAACTGACTTGACAACTTAGGGAAACAAGAAAGGACTCAAAAAGGAATGATCTTGAGATTCTCTGAGATGGATTCAGAGTTAATTTAACATCTTTTTTTTCCTATGCAATAAATACTTACTAGGGGTAAAATTCCCCAGTAAGAATTTGACATGTTACTAAGACATCTAAGTTGAAAATATGTGATGAAGCTACAGAAGTCTTACTTGCTTTCATGCAGTTACTCACGTAATCTTTTGATCACATGAAAAAAATGAGAATTAAAATAACTCAGAAGTAATGCAAGCTGTATGTGGCACCAAGTAAACCTTAAAGATATGGATACTTTTCAAAATTTTAAAATAATTGTATAATATTGATTCCTCAGGCTCTACAGCATCACATATGTAGCAAAGATTCCTTGGACTGGGGGAAGCTGCTTTCCCTAAGAGCTCAGATCACTTGCAGGGAGAGTTTGAACAGTGTGGATTTTGACTTGCACTGGGCAGCAGTAACTTTAGCAAATAACTTCAAATGTGCTCCTGTGAAGCCCATCCCCATTATTCCAACAGCTCTAGCAAGAAACTTGAGCAGTAATCTGAATATTTCTCAAGTTCAAGAGATCTACAAATATGGGTAAGTAAAACATTAATCTAAACATTTTATTTATTTATTTATTTATTTTGGTGGTATTAGGGGTTGAACTCAGGGTCTTGTGCTTGCTAAGCAGGCACTACCACTTGAGCCGTGCCTTCAGCACTTAATTTTAAATATTGGTTCCATTAGGTTTTTTTTTTTTTTTTTTTTTTTTTTTTTACAGTACTGGGGTTTGAACTCAGGGCCTTCACCTTGAGCCATTCCATCAGCCCTTTTTTGTGAAGGATTTTTGCGAGATAGGATCTTGTGAACTATTTCCCAGGCTGGCTTCAAAGCTTAATCCTCCTGATCTCTGCCTCCTGAGTCGCTAGGATTAAAGGCGTGAGCCATCAATGCCCAGCAAGTTTTATTAAAATTGACTGGGTGGTGGGGATGTAGCCAGTGTTAGAGTGCTTACCTAGCATGTGTGAGATTAGATTAGAAAAACTTTTGGTTCATATTTTATTATTTTAAAATATAAGGGGAAATTACGTATTATTTTGCCTGTTCTATTTTGCCTGGGTTTAGGCTATTTTCTTTTTTTTTAAACTATAATATGACTATGAACCTAAGAGAAGCTGGAGAACTTATTCATAGTATGCACTTTTAGGCATGAGTACTGAGTACAACAGGTAGAGAAAGGAGATAATTAAAATTTTGTAGTGCTCTTGCTTACCAAATTGTCAACTCCTTGAGGGTGGAGTTTCCTTACAGCTGGAGTAGAATCCTCTCCAGCTTCCTATACTGTAGTTTCTTAGGAAATGTAAGTCAAAATACTTCCTTTCTAATCCTCAGCAGGGCTGCTTCCCTGAATCCTCATCTGTTTTATCTTTTGTCTACTGAAGTAGGTTAGACAATGTAAGCACCCTGTGTTTTAAAATTTTGACTATAGGTAGCTCTAACATTATGCTTCTGGCTTCCTTTCCCACTGACTGCACCCTGGTTCCTGTTAGGTCTCTAGAGCCAAAAATGTTTGCCAAGGTACACTCAGCTCCAAGTCTGATCCTCTAAAAGTACTACTTCAAAAGAGAATGAGGAAAAAAAACAGAACATTCTCCTCAGAGTAGCAAGAAAGTCCCATTTTGAGTCTCAGATTCTGACCAGAGAGGTGCTTGCTGTTTAGAATGACCCAAAGAAAAAAGTATATTAAATCTTGGAATATTAAAAGGCATGATGATCAAAAAAGGTTTGAATAGAACATTTAATCCTTTTAAAATAATAAAGTGCTTCTCAACTGGGACATGGGATTTTAGGTCTTAAAATAAACCAAAAAATTAGTTTTCCTTTGTACCCATATCCATTCATTTATACAGCATGGATTTTCCTTTCCTTGAATTATCTATCTGTGACTACTTGGCATGCTGGATGTTCAGTAATCCATCCAGCCAGGTTTAAATTTAGAGCCTCATGCAAACTAGGCAGGTGCTCTTCTGCTTGAGCCACTCCGCCAGCCCCTTTTCATATTCTTAAAGCCTACTGTCAATTATAAGTATAATAATAAAGTATAAGTATAGTATAATGTCCTTTGAAAAAGTGGGTTTTTGGGTTTTATTATCATATTCTTTGACAGTGGTTGGAGGAGTTGTGGTTCGTGAATGGTTGATTAATACCTCCCCTAACTTAGCCTCTTTGACTGAGAAATCACATTTATTGCAATCTTGTCAAGTCACCTGGATGCTAAAAAAAACTTCCAGTAACAGGAATTTCACTTTTTCCAGTGTAACGTAATTGGTTCTGAAATAGTTTGAGTGTTAACACTTTTTTTGTGGGAGTGTGTTGTGCTAGGGACACTCAACCAATGAGCTACATCCCCAGTGTTGACACTTGATTAAAGTAAATTGTGAGTAAAGTTGAGGAGTAAAATTTTTGAAACAGTGTAATCTTCAGTGACCATTTTAATAAATAGAACTTTTAAGACCTTATGCCTCTTTAATTTCTTACCAGAGTCTTCCCTTTACTAAGTTAAATGCTTTGAACTGCTTTCTTTGTGTTTACATGTGTCTGAGAGACAGTGTTCTTTTGAATCATCCCTTACCTGAAATAAACTTCATGACTCAGATTATCTCTTTTAGGTAGAAAGTACATATTTAAAATTATTTTTGCATAACTATTTTCTGTTTAGATATCTTACCATGGATGAGACACGCAAATTATTACTTTTGCTGGAATCTGATCCCAAGGTGTATTCTCTACCATTAGTGGGAATGTAAGTATTGTACTACTTATGAAAGCCTTTTTAACCAGATGTGTAGCTAATATATGTGATAAGCATGTGAATTAGTTGTGTTTGAGTATTTAGATCATCTTATAAAACCACAAAAGTCAGTTGTTCTTAAGCTTTCTTTTAATAGTAGAATCAGCTAAAGTAAGATTTTTCCCAGTCTTAGGAAGAACTCTATTATGTAAAATAGATAAAATTGAATTCTCATTGAAGTTGTAAGCTTAGAGCCCTATTTATTCAATGTTTTTTTCAATACCCTTTGTCCTAAAGGTACCTTGAAAAACCAATAGTAGTGCTTAAAATCTACTACCAAGCAATTTTGCCTTTAGTATTAATGGCTTTCTCTTTAGAGTTAGTGGTTAACGATATTTAGACAGATTATTCCGAAATTTATTTATTTATTCAGCATTTATTTTTATTTATTTTTGGTGATACTGGGTGAATTCACAGCTTCATGCTTGCTTTTTTGTGTGGGGTATTAGGGTCTCACTTTTTTTTTTTTTTTTTTTTGGCATGGGCTGGCCTCAAACTGATCCTCCTGATCTCTGACTCTCAAGTATCTAGGATTACAGGCATGAGCCACCAGCACCTAGTTTTTCAGTTTTCATTGAATGCTTTCCATGTGCATAACATTATGTTTGGTACTATGTTTTGACTTAAAGCCCCTTCTCAAGGAATGTATAATCACAAAGAAAAATTAATAATAATGAAGTAAATGAACTGTGAAATGAATATAGAAAGTGAACAGTATCAGTATTTGAAAGAAATGATAGGGGGCATTTTCTTGTAGAAGGAAACGTGACCTGGACCTTTAATTGTTTGGATAGTGGAAGGGATGATGGCATGTGCAAAGTTAATAAGAATGCACATGGATTCTCTGGATTATGAAATCTGTATGCTGTGGTTCTGGTATTGGCTATGGCTTACCGATACTTAAGTAAACATTGACTAATAGCCTTCTGTATTTCAGGCTATCTGTGTATGTTACACCATTTAATCTCAACAACTCTGTAGAGTAGTTTTAGGTTACAAACTTCAGTCTCCTCAGCCCAATTTTCCAGTACAAGATACTCATTCTGACATTCTGTTTTCACCACTGAACCATTTTCTCTCTTACATCTCATGTGGAAGAAGACGGAAAAAGAAAGGTGTGCTTATTTTCTCTTAAGTAGACAGTATATATATTGACATAGATATCTACATTATCTCTCTAAATTGTCAGCATGATCTAGTTAGTGTTTGTAGATTTCTTATTTATAAGTCCTTTTAACATATTACTGGTAAATGTTAAGGATCTGCCATAATATCGCCTTGAGAATGGCACAATCTGATAATGCCAACCTCTAAGTGACGACAGACTTGTTTTTGGTTTTGTTGTTTGGTTTCACTTTGAGAAAGTCTCTGTAGCCTTGAGCTTCGTAGTTCAAAGCCAACACCCTACCTGTCTTCATGCCCCAGCCTCCCAAGCGCTGCAGTTGCAGTTGTGTACCATGACTTTTGGCTCATTATATGCTTTAATTTCTATTTTTTAGTTGGCTGTCTGGAATTATACATATCTATAGTCCTCAGGTGTGGGCTTGCTGCTTGAGATACATGTTCAGTTCTTCTATTCAAGAAAGGTAAGTGATATTTTATTCTGTAGTATTTTATTTTGATCTTTCCCCCTATTTATATTGTGTTGGCCTCACTTAAAATTCATATAACACTGTAATCTTTTTTTTTCTTGCCATGCTGGGGATGAAACCCAGGGCTATACACATACGAGGAAGTGCTCTACCACTAAACTACATACCAACCCATGCCTTAACTTTTTACAGTACTCATAAACAAGTAGCTTAAGAAAAATAAACCTTACATTAAATGGGAATAAAACAAAAAAAAAAAAGATGAGGTGACAGTATTCCTGGAAATAATCAAGGAATTCACTTGCCTAACAGAACTGTGATACAGAAGATACACTTTTTAAAGAACTCTCTAGTGATCATCTGCTGTGGCATTCTATTTTCATTCAGCAAAATGACTGAAAATGAGCTTGGATTTGTTACAAGTACTTTGTCAAGTTACACAGTGCTGCTACTACTGCACTAGGAAACATTTGAAATGCATTGTTTAATTTTTTTCCTGGAATTAAAGCATAAACATTAGAATTAATAGTTGGGAAACTTTATTTAATTTTATTTTATACATGGTGCCACTATTTGCCTCTTGCTTTTTCTTATCCACTTTTAGGAGTATTATGAAAATTAAAAAATAATCTCTTGTATATTCTTCAGATGCTTTTTGTTTGTTTGTTTGTTTGTTTGTTTTGAGACAGATCTCACTATAGAGCTGAGGCTGGTCCAGAACTCACTATGTAGCCCATGCTGGCTTCAAACTGAAGATTCTTCTATCTAAACTTCCTGAGTGTTGGGATTATAGGAATGCACCAATACATCTGGCTTCTAGACACTCTTATGGTTATACTTTTTATGTTTTATTTCATCTTCTCAAGAGAATTAGTTTTATTTGCAATGAAACAACGTAAGCTAGGTGTAGTGGTGTATGGCAGTGATCCTAGCATTTGGAAGGCTTAGGTGGGAGGGTTGCAAGTTCAAGGCTTGTCTGGACTACATAGACAGTTCCAGGCCACCCTGGGCTATGTAGTAGGATTTCATCTCAAAAAACAAAAACAAGGTCATTCTCATTTTCTCTCTAGAGATAATCTGCTTTTAGTCTATCAGAGGTATGTTCCTTTTCTAATAAACTTTGCCATCACTTTCACTACAAAAAAAGAAAAGCTGAGTGTTAGTTTTTTATTCTTTGCTAAGATTTAGTACAGTTAAGTTGTATTTAAGTTCCTTTTCAGTAAAATTAATTTTGAAGCTGTTTCTCATATACTGTGTTCATTCTGAAGCATTATGTAATTTCTTTGATACCAGAACTCTTTAATTATTGCCATAACTTAGGTTGGTACTTTACAGTTCCCCGAGCAGTGGTCTTACCTGACCCCAGAGAGAGGAACTAAGCAGAATATGCATTCTACCTCCATCCTCCACTGCTTTGATTGGTCATGTGACATCCCCAAACTATTTCTCATTCAATATTCTACAAAGTAGAGACAACTACTAAAAGTATTTTTAGTTAGATTTAGTATGTATTTTAAGGACTTGATAACTTTATAAAGATTTGTTGGATTGCTTAGTGAATAATAAAATTAATGTAATTTTATTAGGGTTTATAATAGTGAAATATAGTAAACAATTCAAATACCATTCATTAAAATCTAGGTGAACTAATAATGGGACATCTAAATGCTAGGCAGTTGCTAAAAAAATGAGAGCTGAGTGTGGTGGAGCATTATAATCCCAGCACTTTGGATGCTGAGGCAGTAGGATCATGATTTCCAGGGCAGACTGGACTACATAATAAGACTATATATAAAAAAAAAAAAATCTGAGTTATAATGTAGAATAGTGACATGGAAATATACAAGATAGACTGTCATATAAAAACAAAAATAGTAGTTGCAAATAATGAGTGAGGCCCCAATTTGTTGAATTATATAAAATATTTGTGTATATGTACAAAAGAATTCTGGGTAAAATGTTTTTGAGATTGACCCTTGCTATGTGGTTCAGGTAAATCTATAATTCCTGGAGTTTAGTGATCCTCCTGCCTCAGCCTCCCAAGCAGCTAGGGTTACAGGTGCCTGCTACCATGCCCAAATTCTGGAAGTACATGTCCTAAACTAGAGAGGGGTTGTCTTTATTTTCTTCATTCCTATTGTGTTTGATGTTTTTACAAGATTTACGTGATACATAGTAAAATTCATTTTTAAAATTAAAATTCAATGATTTTAACTTTTAATTTGTGATATAATAAATAATTATTAATAATAAATATACAATAATATAAATATATTATTATTTGTGTGTAATAATAATAATTTATTGATAGTAGTAATTATTTTATTATTATATCCCTAGTTTTCTTCCAAAAATTATACTCTAGATTCTCAACTAGGTTGGGAAACTTACCTGGGAGTTCTTTCAGGGTAATTTTGTTGTTGTCATTACATTTTAATTAAATGGTATTTTTTTGTCCAGGGTTTTTTCAGAATCTGGAAATTTCATCTTGGTTCTCTATTCTTTGACACATAAGGAACCTGAGTTTTATGAATGCCTCCCATGTGATGGCAGGACACCTGACCTTCGATTTCAGTTGCTCACCAGCAAGGAAACATTTCATCTTTTCAATGTAAGTGATTTGATGCCCAGTACATTAATGACTATTCTGGGTTGCATTTTTGCAGTTTAAACCATGGCCTCTACACTCCAAAATCTTTGGAGTATATGTATAGCTTACATGTTGTATCATTTTGAGTATTGAGGATGAATTTTGTGGTTTTATTATTCTCTTTGTCCTTATTGTGTCATCTTTGAAATATGTAGGCATAACAGGTAATATAAAAAGTCATATTTTTGACTGAAAAATCAATATTTATATAATAAAATCCAAGGAATTGGAATAAGTTATCTCTAGATCTAATAAAATACATAGAAATGCATGTATGTGATCACCAACAATACTGAAACAATAAGTGTCAGTATATAAAAACTAAATTTAAAGACCACTTTTTTTTTTTAAGATGGAGTTCTTATTATGTTGCCTAGGCTGTCCTTGAACTCCTAGTTCTTAAGTGATCTTCCTGCCTCAGCCTTTTTGAATAACTAGGACTACACCACTCCTGGCTTAAAGATCCAACAATAAAATTATTGGTTATCTTAGGTCTGAGAGCAATAATAAAATTATATTTTCTGTTATGAATACTTCTAAATAACCATGTGTTTCCTTTCAGATCTTTTGTTGTTGTTATCGACACTGGAGTTTCAACCCAGTGCCTTGTGCTTGCCAGGCAAGTGCTGTATCACTTGAGACCTGCCTCCAGTCCTTTTTGCTTTTACTTACCTTTAGAATAGGGTTTCATGTTTATGCTGGGTCTGCCTGGACCACAGTCATTCTATTTATGCTTCCTATGTAGCTAGGTTGGCAGGCATGCACCACCACACCCAGCTTTTTATGGTTAAGATGGGGTCCTGTGACTTTTGCCTGGGCTATCCTTAAATGGTGATATTTCCAGTGTCTGCCTCTTGAGTAGTTTAGGATTACAGGCATGAGCCATCACACTTGGCCTCCACTCAGATCTTTTGTTTCCTTTGAGTTCTTTTATGTTTTATGAATAAAGTTTTACTTCAATTATAACCATTGTAAATGATGTGTAATAATTTTTTTCTGTTTTAGAGACTTCATTTATCATTTTATTCTTTAGATGGTCTCTTCTGTTCATAGTTTTTATATTCACTGAATCCCTGGTTACTGAGTAAGCTATATAACACAGATAGGTGATTAGGTTACAGTTACAGAAATCAGAAGTGCTCCCCATCCTCTTCTCTCCTCAGTGTTTCAAAGCTACTTTTCATCTAAATAGAGTTGTTTGGAGTTTTTATTTCTGTGTTCTTCATTTCAGAATGTTGAAAGTTCTGACAAAAATCCAATCCATTTTGAACTGAGTGCTGAAAGCCAAGATGTAGAAAGAGAATTTTTCAGCAAGTTTCCCAAGAATCTTTCAGTTAAGAGGTAAAAGATAACTTTTCATTATCTTGTGTACTTTTTTGTTTTACTACAATCATTAATTTTTGGTGAATAAAGTAACTCTCCAATTATTTCTGATAAAACTATGTGTAAATCTTATGACCATAGTTGTCTTTGCTTTAAATGCATTCATTTCTTCATTTTAACTAGTAAGTTATATGATAATTTTAATGAAATTATAACTAATATGATTTTTGTGTGAGTTGACTTACGTAGGAAAATGAAAAGAGTATTTGTCAGCAGTTATCTTACTTAAGAAGTAGCATTCTATTTTTGCTTAATGCCTTTTGTTTTTCCCTTTCTTGGAGTTTTAAACCTGGGCCTAACAGATAAACTACTGTAAAAATAACTCCTCTACCTATAAAAGAAATTGTTTGTTTAAATTTTTTTTTATTTTTTGTTTAAGGCATAATTGTACCTGATAGCTTAAAAACTTTTAAAGCAAATACACTTTGCAGAATGTTAAATAAGGGCTTGGGTCATTGTATTCTACCTTTGCTACCTTTTGTGGTAAAGAAGATACTCCTGGCATTAAAAATGGTTCTCCAGAGAAACAGAAACAGCAGGATGTGTATATACAGAGTGAGGTATTTATTTTCAGGTACTGGCTCCAGTAACTAAGGAGGCTTGACATGTCCAAAATCTGCAAGGTAGGCTGGCAGGCTGGAGACCCAGGAAGAGTTGCATTTTGAGAACAAAGGCCATTTGCTGGCAAGATTCCCTTTCCCTCCAGGGAAGTCAATGTTTTTCTATTAAAATGTTCAACTGATTGGATGTGGCCTACCCATATTATGGAGAGTGCTGATTTAAATGTTAATCTCAAATAAAAATATACCTCCATGGAAACATCTAGAAGAATGTTTGACCAAATTATTTGGGTACTCTGTCCTAGCAGAGTCAACACAAAATTAATCATTACATCCCTAATTCAGTTTTTTCATTTATTCGACTACATGCCTGGTAATTGCTGAGGTGTGGGGATTTGGTGGCATACCAGATGCATGGAATTTATAATCCAGTGATAGAATGTTGGGTGTTATATTATTTGAGAGGTCCATTAATTTTATAAAGTCAGTTAAAAGCTGCTCTTAAGCCAGGCGCTGGTGGCTCATGCTTGTGATCCTAGCTACTCAGGAAGTAGAGATCAGGAGGGTCACAGTTCAAAGCTAGCCCAGACAAATAATTCTTGAGACTTTATCTCAAAAAAACCCACCACAAGAAAAGGCTGATTGAGTGGCTTAAGGTGCAGGCCCTGAGTTCAAACCCCCATACAACAGAAAAAAAAAAGCCGCTCTTGAATATTGTTTGTTTGTTTGTTTGTTTGTTTTTGGCGACACTGGGGTTTGAACTCAGGGTCTTAGGCTTGCTAGGCAGGGACTTTTACCACTTGAGCCACTCAGCCCTTTATTTTATTCTGAAGAATGTTGAGCCATGCCTAAAGCAGTAAAGCACCTACCTCACAAGTGTTAAGGTCTGAGTTCAAATCCCAGTACTGCCAAAAAAAAAATGTTTATCCTTTGACTCTTCAGTTTAGAAATAGTATGTTATTTTTAATTCATCCTAGCAGTTGAGTTGTCTGTTTCTCAACTTTTTGACATTACTCTATACCTGGCTTTTGGATTCTTTAATATTGTCTGTTTAGAATATTGCATGAGAAACAAGCAGATACAAGGTAGCTATTGACTTTTAAATTTTTTTTATTATGTTATTGTACTGGGAGTACATTATAACATTTACAAAAGTGCTTACAATATATCTTAGTTAAATTCACCCCCTCCATCATTCTCCTTTATTTCCCATACCCCCATTGATTTGTTTTTTAGTATTTTAATCTTACTCAGAAAATGTGATGTGGTGTGTGTGTGCGCACTGCAGATCAAACCAAGGGCACATGCTAGGCAAGCATTGTACCACCGAGTTACAGACACCCATCCTTGATTATTTTTATTTTTTTATTTTATTGTATTCTTTTTTTTTTTTTTTTTTGGTGGTACTGGGGTTTGAACTGAGGGCCTACACAGTGAACCACTCCGCTAGCTCTTTTTTGTGATTTTTTTTTTTTTTTTTTTTTTTTTTTTTTTGAGATAGGGTCTCACAAACTATTTGCCTAGGCTGGCTTCAAACTGCAATCCTTCTGATCTCTGCCTCCTGAGTAGCTAGATTTACAGACGTGAGCCACCAGCGCCCAGCTCAAAATGAGTCCCTGAATGGAAAATCAAAGTATTGGCAGGGTTACATCACTTCTGGAGGCAATAGGGGGAAAATCTATTTTGTTGCGTCTTCCAGCTTCTCGAGACTACCCACATTCCTTGTCTCATAGTCCCTCACTCCATTTTCAAAACTAGCAGCATAGCATCTTCAAATCTATCTCTCTCTTTCCTCTTCCTCTCTCCATCTCTCTCTGACCTACTTTTCTAACTCTGACGCTCTTAACTTCTCTCCAGTAAGTACCCTTTTGGTTACATTGGGCCCACCCGGATAATCCAAAATAACTCCCCATGTCAAGATCCTCAATATAATTACACCTGCAAACTTTCTTTTGCGCATATTCAGTAGTTGGAGGGAATAGAAAGGTGTCTAAAGTATGTCCACTCAGTCTTCTTTGGGTATTTTAAACTATCCCTGGAATAGATCACCAGAAAAACTGTTACATTCTAAGGCTTTCAGAAGTACCTTAAATTTCTTAAGTTGTAAGACTTTAATTAACATTTTATTGAATATTTATGAAAGAAAAGGTCAAAGTCAGGCAGCACAATTTCTTTGTTTTCTGTTTTTCTGGTGGAACTGGGATTTGAACTACGGGCTTCGCACTTGTAGAGCAAGCACTCTACCACTTGTTATGTCCATGCACTGAGCACATGGGATATCATTGTATATTCCAAATGTCCTTCTTGGATGTTGTGGGAGAGCTTCTTAAACACACCCTGCAGATATGTTCACTGCTTCATTCTTTCCAGACTATCAGTATTTGGGGAACAGTCTCTGCTGTCAGATCTTCAGATCTACTTTGGGATTTCTTTTCTATTATTCTCCTGCTAGGAAGAATTCCACTTGCATGAAATGGGATGCAAGATGCTTTCTTAGAAACCTCATTCATTCTAAGCTGTTGTAGCTTCTTCAGGCTTATCTTTTTCCTAAAGTATCCTAATGAGACTTTAGTTTAGAATGCAAAAAACAGTCATGCACATAGGATTCCAAATCTTTAGTAGTCTTTAAAATTTTGGGGTGGTACTGAGGTTTGAACTCAGAGCCTTATGTTTGTGAGGCAGGCACTCTTACCACTTGAGCCACTCCACCAGCACTTTTTTGTGATGAGTTTTTTTGAGATAGGGTCTCAAGAATTATTTGCCCTGGACTGGCTTTGAACCACAATCCTCCTGATCTCTGCCTCCTGAATAGCTAGGATTATAGGTCTGAGCCACTGGAGCCTAGCCAAATTTTTAGTTGTCTTAAACCCTAATTTTAGGTTTTGAAACATAGTGCTAACAGTCAAAAGAATTTTTTTTTTTCCTTTTTTGCATTGCTGGGGATTAAACCCAGGGCCTTGCACATGTTATGCAATTGTTCCAGCTGAACATAGAAAAATTTTGATAAGCACATAGGATTACAAATCTTTAGTAGTCTTTGTAAGTGGGTTGTGATACTCTTATGTCTCAAAGTATTTTTCCATCACAGATATAGATACATTGGAAAATATAATTATCTAATGGTTTTCTCTTTTTTTTGCAGTACTAGGGCTTGAACTCTGAGTCTCATGCCACCAGCCATTTTTTGTATTGAACATTTTTGAGATAGACTCCCTTGAACTATTTGCCCATGATCCTCCTGATCTCTGCTTCCTGAGTAGCTGGGATAACAGGCATGAGCCACCAGCACCCAGCTTGGTTTTCCTTTTCAACACAGTTGGTACTTCATACAATGTGTTTAGTACAAGTCTGTCACATTAAACAATTTTTTTTATAGTAAGTGCCAGGTTTATTTCTACATTCTTCAGTGTGGTCAATCTGAAGGTGCTCTGTGACTATTGATTTATTGTAACATCAACAACATAGGGTTAAAGTTACCATGATGAGGCAAATGAGTTCAGTAAGCATGAGTTGGAGTAAACTAGCTTTCCCTGTAAACTAACATTTACTTAAAAAAAAAAAACCTATTGTTGTCTGATATTAAATGATACAAACACTACTTATTAAAGGAGTTTATTCAGTTTCAAAAAGGAAGAAAGAAAGAACACCAGAAAGTTTTTGGGATTTTTTTTTTTTTTTTTTGAGACAGGGTCTTGCCATGTATGCCACACTAGCCTCAAACTCAACAATCCTCCTACCTCAGCCTCCCAAGTACTGGGATTATAGTTGTATGTCACCACACCTGGCTTGAAGGTTTTTCTTGTCTGTCTACTTTTTAGGTCTCCCCAGAAGTTACCCCCTGGGAAAATACCAATAAATGACCATGACTCTGGTGTTGAAGATGAAGATTTTTCTCCAAGACCAATTCCTAGTCCTCATCCAGTGAGTCAGAAGGTATCAGCAATCCTACAGTGAATTCTCCTTTGTGGTTAGAAACCTGAAAAATCTCTTTATGTTAAAGCAGTAAAAATACCTAAAACTTAGGTATCATTCTAGTTGTCTGTATCTGTATGATATCTATATCTATATAGAGATATCTATGTACCTCAAATGTACATATAATTATTATTAAATATCATGTATGCATATATTCACATATGTGTAATAATGTATACATAATAAGTACATATAATTATCATTCCCAGAGTAAACTGAGGCATAGATTGGTTGTTACCTGTCCAAGATCACACAGCTAATAAGTAGTAAACCTTGGATCCTAATTCAGGAGGTTTGGTTTTAGAATCTGGTGCTTTTAACGAACATATAGTCTCAACATTCTATACTGTCACCAAAACTGACACTGGTTTTTGTTACTATATTCTGAGAAAACATCTAGTTGCATTCAGAAGTTGCTAATAAACCCTGTCATATATTTTTTTTGATTGCTGCCACCCAGTGGATTATTCTAGAATTGTTGTTTACATTAATTGGACTCGTTTTAGAAGAAAAAGGAGTGGAAGGTTGTGTGTGATGGTACATGTCTATAATCCCAGCTACTAAGGAGACAGATTAGAAAGATCGTGGTTCCGCTAACCTGGGCAAAAAGTTAGTAAGACTCCATCTCAGCCAGCAAGCCAGGCATGGTGCTGTGCATCTGTTACGTCATCTACATGAAGGGCAAAGGAAGGAGGCCCACAGTCCCAGGCCAGCTCCAAATAAAGATGCACAACCCTATCTGGAAAATGACTAAAGTGGGCATTAAAAAAAAAAAAAAAAGGCTTAGGCCTTTTACTCAAGTAGTAGTGTGCCTCTGTAGCAAGTGCAAGACCTTGAGTTCAAACTCTAATACTGCCAAAAACAAAAGGAAACAGCGGGAAAGATTTTTAAAAGTTAATATCACGGTATAACAAATTCACATCAGGAATATTGTGTTTGTTTTCTTTTTTATCCCTTTTAGTTACTATTAGTAGAAGAAATAACTGAATAACTTTACTTAGTAGAGAAATATTCTGATATTTGCTGGAGAATCCTTTGTTATTCAAGATGTATAAACATTTGCTACTGTGGTTCAACATTGCAATTGAAGCATGCTGCCTGTAATAATGTTTTTTGCAAAGTGAGGGTAAAATACTATTGTGTAAAACAATTTTCTCATACTGTATTCTGTGATCTAAGCAATGCACATCAGTTCCAATAAAAGGCATTCCACTATTAAATAAGTGTGGGAAATGCTTAGATATATTCTTTGAGGACAAAGACCTTGCTTATTTGCTCACAATTGTATGCCTACTGTCTAGCATATAGAAGATGCCCAGGACATACTTGTTGATTGTCTAAATAATGGACAATTATTTATACACAATTGGACATTATTTGGGAAATACTGGTCTAAGGAAAGTACAGCATGTCTCCTAAAAATTTCCTCTTTTTTCCCTGTTGTAGATTTCTAAGATCCAACCATCAGTTCCTGAACTTTCTCTTGTGTTGGATGGCAATTACACAGAATCTAATCATATCTCTAATCCATTGGAAGTGATGAATATTGAAACCCTTCCTTCAGTTAACCAGACTGAACACTTGAAGCCCTTGCAACCTGAGCTTTATGATGAAAAACACAGCACAGAAGCTGAAGCTGGAGAGTCTTCCTTGAAAGGGATGCCAAATCAGTTGAACCAGGGCACTGCTTCTTTGAGTCACTGCAAAGTAAGACAGTCATCTTCCTGCAAGAACGAGAACCATCATTTCAAGAACAACAGTATTATACCATCCTCTCTTAATGTACCACCTCTTGATATACCTGAGAAGCTTCAAGTAGTTTCTGCTGGGAACGAACAAAGAGAAGACTATTGTATAAGACCTTCAGTGTTTAATTCTGGGCAGTCTTCTCTTGCTCCACAGCCCCACCCACACAATTTTGTTTTTTCACCCCATAATGCAGGAAGACCAATGAAATTTCAGATACCTACTCCCTCACTACCATCTTACTATTCCACAAATGTTTGCAGCTGTTGTCAGCATCATGGTCATATTCAATATAGTACAATAAATTCTTGGCAAGGAATAAATTCAGTGGGGTCCATTCAAGACCTCCAGCCAGAAGCCCTTCAAAAGCATTCAGTATTTCCCCCAAGCAGGTGTCCAGCTTTGTACCACAATGCAGTCTACTCCTCAAGTAGTCCTGTAACCTTGAGACCTCAGGGAAGTATGGCCAGTTGTTCTTACCACAACAATACAGAACCGTCCCCTGTGGCAGGACCTTCACATATGAACTCATGTAACCCACAGCCTTGTGCAGTGTTCATGCACACACCCAAGACTGGATCAGATGATGGAATGATGGGACTATCTCCAGATGCATATCGGTTTGTCACAGAGCAAGACAGACAGCTGAGATTACTTCAGGCGCAGGTTTGCTTGGAACTTTCTTAGTTTTGTCAAATTTTTGGTATTAACATGATTTCTTAAAAACTGGTAACTCTCAGTAATTATGCTTTATAGAAGTATAGAATGTCAGAATTAGAAAGAGCCTTAGAAACTGAATTCTAGTCCTCCTGATTACCTGTAAGTAAAATGAGGATTACAGAGAATAATTTAACCCAATGCCACATTGCTAGTTAGTAGTAGAATCAGGACTAGAAAGCAAAGTTTCTTTCTGTTTATCTTGTGGATATCCTACCCTACAAAATAATTGCATTTTTCTTTTCACTTTTTGCCTTCAATGAAAAGACTATGTTACCTTTACATACAACTAAGAACAAAGACTGGCATGTATTTTAGTTTGTCAACACTTTAGTATGTATACTAACCCTTAGCCAGTATGCTATAAGGGAATAGTCAAGAACCTTTCTGTTTATCTATTGGAATTTGTTCCAGTCATTTTATTCTGAAATGTTCCCTTTCTTCAGGACTTTTATTGCAGAGCTCTTAGTCTCTTAATTATATTCTCCTGCAGAGTTTAGTGCAGAAGTAATTGTGTCTTTTTTTTTTTTTCCCTTTTCTCATCAGCATACTTACTCTATATAGTACTACAAGCCTGTTGTTCCTCTCTTTCCACCCAGTACCAGTGGTAACAACCTGAAATATGTTCTTCATGTATTTTCCATGATTCTCTAACTATACAAATATATGTGCAATATGCATAAATAATGTAGTCCTTTTATTAAGTTGGAGCCATAGTGTTTGCATTTTGAAAAAGAAAGTGAATTTTGAAATTCTCTTTAAAAATTCTTTGAATAGGAGCATCTGAGAAAAATTTACTTTTGCTGCTTTTTAAACATAGGTTAATTCTCTGAAATTATAAAATGGATTTTAACAAATCTTTATAAACTTAGCAAAAGTTTTAATATAAATATTTTCACATTGAAAAGAATTCTTTACATTTATTTCCCGTTCTATTTAAAAAGAAAGACTAATAGAGGCTAAAAGGATGCTTTAAGCTATTTAGAAATCTTAGTTACTTGGGATTATAGGCTTAAAATGTAATATAGACTGTGGAATTTCATGTAGATTATCTGCCTTTTTATACAATATGTGATACAGAAAATCTTCTGTGATAAGTATACATAGTATTTTCCTCCTACATAAACTTTTTTTTAAGCTTTTGTTTTTTTTCCTTACAGTGCTGGGAATTGAACTCAGGGCCTTATATATGCTAGGCAAGTGCTCTACCACTGAACTACACCCCAGCCCCTTTAGTTACCTGTTTTGGAAATATTTTAGACATATTCTCTATAAGTACATATAGAAATTTTATTCTGCTAGGATTGTTTTCTCTTATTCTCCCATTGATTATGTCAACAGTTTGAGATTTCTTCTGTTGCAAACAGTGTAGCAGTGAGCATCCTTATACTAAGATCATTTTATTTACATTTATCCTTTTTTTAAAGTTTTTTACATCATTTATTCACATTTATTTTTCACTGCATATGTGGCAGTATCTCTGTACAATAGACTCCTAGAAGTAATTGAGAAGTCAAAGGGAATATATCTTTTAAATGTCCAAAGATACCCACAGTTTCTCCTCTTCTAGTATTCCAAGTCTCATTTCAGTATAGTGCTTAAGGGAGTAGGCTCTGGTGCCAGACTCCTTAAATTCTAATCCAGTTTCTGGGTAACCTAAGTTATCCAACCTTCAACAGGTAACCTCTCTGAATTCAGTTTTCTAATGTATAAAATGAGATACATATATATGTAAAAGTTGTATGAAGTTCTAAGGATTAAATGAATTAGTAGGTAAAGGCTTAGTGTAAGTGCTTGGCATATAGTTAGTACTCAATAAATATTAACTGTTACTATTTCCATTATCATTATTTGCTCAGTTAATGGTACCACCTGTTATCCAGTCACGCAGTCCAAATTCACCCCCAAAAAACTGAGCTTTGGGAGCTAGGTCTGTAGCTTAGTGGTAGTGTATTTGCCTAGCATGTGTGAGGTTTGAGATTCAATCTCTAGCACTGTAAAGAAGAACAAAAATGAAAGTATGTTGGTTTACTTTGTAAATAAGTCTTGAACTTAACTCTTTTGTTTTTTAACTACTCTTTACTATCTTTCCTGATACCACCCTAATTCAATATTTTGTCTAATTTATGCTGCTTCCAGTACTGTCACCTCATATTTCCTTCAATTGAAACATGCAGCTATCTTTTTAAAGCACAGATCAGATCACATCACTCTTCCTTAATCCTCCAAAGTTTTTTCATTGCAAGTAAAATAAAATCCAAATTTCTAACTTTGGTCCTTTGTGATTTGACTTCCTTCTCCCTCTACCAACTCCTCTCTTACATCCTTTTCCATGTTAGCTTCATTTCAAATACAGTGTTTTGCTTTTTGTTCTTGAACATGACAGAACATGTTCTCATGCTCACTGTTCCCTTTGCCGGAAATATTCTGGTTCTTATTATTGCTAGTTTTGTCACGTCATTCACACCTAATTACATGGTTGGCTTTTGTTTTGTTGTTATTGCTAATCCTCCTTTCTGCAATAGAAAGTAGCTCTAAAAAGGGAATAGTACTTGACATGTAATAGTTGCTTACTATATAGTTCATTACGTGAATGAAAATGAATTAAAATGATGGCCAGAAAGGTTATAATACTTTGTTTTTTGTTGCATCCTGAAGATTGAACTCTACTACTTGAGCCACATCCCCAACCCTTTTAGACAAGGTGCAGGGAGCATCTTTCTTTCTTGGTCGGATGTCTGTGCTTTGTGCTTGCAAAGCAGACGATCTACCACTTGAGCCTCGCCTCCAGTCTATTTTTACTCTGGTTATTTTAGAGATGCGGGGGTGGAGGGAGTATGGGCAGGTGGTGTCTCATGAACTGTTTGCCCAGACTGGCCTCTAACTGCAGTCCTCTACATCTCAGCCTCCCAAGTAGCTAGGATTACAGGCATGAGCCACCAGCATCTGACATCCTTTGTTTTTAACAAAGATAATTAAGTCTCTGTTTTATTATTTATTTATTTATTCAGTGCTGGGGATTGAACCCAGGACCTTACATGCTAATAAGCAAGTGCTCTGCCAATGGGCTGCATCCCCCAGCCCATGTTATACCAATTTAATACCTTATGACCATTTTCCTACCTGTATCAAACACTTAAGTTATCAATCTTATCAATAGAAACTTTTGTATTTATTATAAGTAACATTGATTATTTGTGGCCATTTATATTCCTTTGATAAACTGTGTATCATCGAAACATTTTGTATCTAGTCCTTTTCTAGTTGATTTATAAGAGCTCATATGTTAAAGAAATTGGTTCTTTATAATAAATATGGCATTTTTTAGTTTACCTTAAATATTTGCCTTTTAACCACTTGTTTTATACAGAATAATCTAGTTATAGTTAAATTTACTAGCCATTTTCTTTCTGGGTTTTGTATTATGTTTAGAAAGTCTTAAGATTATAAAAAATTTACTCTTCCCTTTCCCTCAGAGATTATATTTATTGCTTCTATTTTATTTTGGTATATGGGATAAGATATTTTTTCTTTTTAATAAGATGGCCAACCCATATATTTATTGAATAGTACATATATTTGTTAATGATTTACAAATGCATCTTTTGTCATAATGAAAATATGTGTTTACATCTATTCCAGCATCAGTACCATTTAATTTAATTACTATAGCTTTATAATATACAGTTGACCTTTCATATCCAAGGGTTTCCAATCTGCATTCAACCAAGTGCAGATGGAAAATAATTTGAAAAGAAAAAATTGCTCCAGTACTGAACATGTGCAGACTTTTTTCTTTTATTCCATAAACAATACAACATCTATTTGTGTAACATTTACATTGTATTAGATATTATAAGTAATCTAGAAGTGATTTAAAGTATATGTGTTATGTGCAAATACCACACCTTCACCTTCATACCTTTTTACTTTTCCTTTCTTGATTTGGATATATAATACAAGCTGACCTTGAGCCCACTGTCCTTCAGTCTCCAAAGTGCTAGGACTATAGGACTGTGCCTCCACACCCAGCTAAATTCCACACCTATATTTAAAAGACTTGAATTGGAAACCTATGGGTTTGGTACCTGGGGGGATCCTGGAACCAATCCTTCATGGATACCAAGTGATATGGTATTTTAAAGTTCTAACTTGAGGAGAAGAAGTTGGAAAACACTAAAACAAAAGATCCTTGAAACTTCCAAAAAAAAAAAAGAAAGGATACTAGCTCACTCTAGTGATCAATGTATTAAAGTATTAAAAGCTAAGCAGGCTGGGCGCCAGTGGCTCACACCTGTAACCTTAGCTACTCAGGAAACACATCAGGAGGATTGCAGTTTGAAGCCAGCATGAGACCCTATCTTGAAAAACCCTTCACAAAAATAGGAGTGGTGGAGTAGCTCAAGGTGAAGGCCCTGGGTTCAAGCCCCAGTACTGCAAAAAAAAAAAAAAAAAATGCTAAGCAGAACAGTGGTGCACACTTGTCATACCAGCAGAAGAGGCTGAAGCAAGAGGATTCTAAGTTTGAAGCCAGCCTGGACAATATAGTGAGATTCTATCTGACAATAATAATAATTTAAAAATATAAATAAAGGTAATAAGAAGGAAAAAATATTTTTTCTGTCTTTGGTAGTGCTGAGGTTCAAACCCAAGACCTCACTTAGAACTCAAGTGCTTCACCACTGAGCTACATTCCCAGCCAAGCAAATACATATTTAAAGCATACTAGCTGATTAATTTTAGAACCTGAATGTATATAATAAGTCTTTCATTGAGTGTTTCCTCTATGATTTTTTCATCTGTAAAATAGGAGAAATGATCAGTATAATCTACAAATCTACATTTGAAGGTTAAATGAGTTTATTATAAAGTGCTCAATGTAGGACCTAGCTTTGGAAGTACTCAACGAGTTACAACTATTTTATTCATCTCTTTCAGTTCTCATAACATCCTTAGTTTTAGGTGATATTGAAGCTTAAATGGTTAAATAACTTCTCCAAGATACTATAAATACTTATGCCTTTTTTTTGGTGGGGGGGTTGTACTAGAATTTGAGGTCAGGGCTTCATGATTGCTATGCAGGCAACTCTTCCACTTGAGCAACACCGCCAGCTATGTATGCTGTTTTTTAGTTTTTTGGATTTTTTTTTTTTTATGGTGATGGTGGTACTGGGGTTTGAACTCAGGACTTTGCACATGCTACATGTGCTATTTTATTTTTAGTTTATATTTCTATTGAGCTAAATAATTTATTGATGGTACTCATTAATCTATTAAAATCAATTAGTAGATAAGCACAGTAGTACCATTTATAGGGAAATAGAAAATCACCATATTTAAAAGGGAGGCTCCTCTACTTCAGTATATACTAAGAGAAATAATATGTCCTCCCAAAACCCTGTATGTAAATGTCCATAGCAACAATAGTTCAAATTGTAAATAACCCAATTGTCTATCAACTGATGAATGGATAAACACAATGTGACATACAGACAATGGAATTAAAAGTATTGACAAATACTATGATATGGTTAAACCTTGAAAACATTATGTTAATTGATAAAAGCCAGACACAAAGCTTGGTTGTTTATATGAAATGTCCAGAGTAGACAAACTCACATAGACAATATATTAGTAGTTGCCAGGGCCTGGGGAGAAGGATGATGGAGAGGGACTACAAGCAGTTATTGAGTCTTTGGGGGTTTGATGATGTTTTGAATTCATAGAGGTGATGGCTGCCCATTTTGTGAATATAATAAAAACTACTGAATTACTAGTAGTGAATACTATGATGTATAAATTACATCTCAATTTTAAAAGGAGAAGGGGTGGCTTTTGGTGTTTTAACCTCACTTCTGCTACTTGTTAGTTTTGTGGTGTGGACAAGTAATTTAACTTTCCTGTGACTCAAGTTTTTTAATCTTTTTAAAGGCAGTATATTCTTCATGGGGTTGTTGTGAAAATCATACATAAAAGCTTGTAGTATAATGTCTTGCAAGTAAGCACTCAACAAGTTTTAGCTATTACTTAATAGTTTCCAGTTTTAACATGGCTAAATGGGCAGTTCTGATTAACCTTTGTAAGAAGAATCCTGTTCAGTATTTGGTACATTGAGTCAGAGTATACCGCCATTCTTTCTTGACTGAGAAGTGAAGTAGAAATAAAATGTTGATGTATTAACATTCAGCCTTTTCTACACAAGTGTCAATTTATGAACACTAATCTAACCACCTTTATGATTCACTTTTAAATTTATACCCAGTTTTAAGATCTTCTTAACTAAATTATAATGCTTTTTCCTACACTGATTAAGTTTCATGGTACAATCTAATCGTAATGTGAGAAAGTATCATTAAAAGTCAGCTCTTTATAACTGGGGCACTTTGTAATTTGCTATTAAACTCTGTGACCAGTTTTGTTGATTATTTTACTGTCAGCTTAAAGTATGTTTTTAACTGATACAGATTCAGCGTTTATTGGAAGCACAGTCTCTGAAGCCTGGCTCGCCTAAGACAACCACTCTTGAAGATGCAAGACAAATGGAGCTGGTTTCCACGGAAGCACAGTCTTCCCCTGGCTTGCACTTGAGAAAAAGTGTAAGCATTGCTGTGAGCACAGGTAACTTCAACTTTTCTTTCCATTTGTAGGATTTTTAAAAAATGTTTTCAATATCTGCTTTGTGTATTTTTGTACTGAAATTGGAAGCCAATACAATAGAAACAAAACTAACGTGAGGAGAGATACTATTTAAGTCTTTCTGTAATTTTACTCTTTATGAAATGAAACTACACCTGAAAACAGATATAAAACTTCATAATACATTGTTTTTATTACTTTTCTAGGTTGAGTCCAGTTCTAAAAAGAGAATTGTCTGTGGTTTGAGGGGTCAGGGAGAGTTTTCATCAATGCAGTGTTACTGAGTCTGGGCCTTGAAGGGTATGTAGTATTATTGCAGTACATGGAATTGAGGGATGGAAAACAGATCAGGTGGAGAAAATAGTATGGGCTCAATAAGAAAACACATGGCTCTGAGTTGTAACTGTGTTAATGATAACAATGAAGAGGAGGGCTGAGTGTGGTGTTACATGCCTGTAATTCCAGCTACTGAGGAGGCATAGATAAGAGGATCTGGTTCAAGGTCAACCTAGGCAAAAAGTTTTCGGACCTTATCTAAAAAGCTATCTAAAAGCAAAAGCACATGGCTCAAGTGATAGAATGCTTGCCTAACAAGTACAAGACTTTTTTTTTCTTTTTCTTTTTCTCTTCTTTTTTTTTTGCAGTACTGGACTATGAACTCAAGGCCTTTGCTTGCTCTGCCATTGCTAACTAATTAAATGTAGCAGTTAAATTAAAGTGAAGACTGAAAAGTTACTTCAACTGAAACAATGTGATATCCCAGGTTGGATCCTGGAACACAAAAGGGATATTAGTGAGAAAATTGGTGAAAAAAAAAAAAAAAGCCCAGCACTTAATTAATAATCTAGTATACCAATGTTGGCTTCTTGATTTTGACAAATGTATATTGGTAATGTAAGATGTTAACATCAGAGGAAACTAGGTAAGGGGTATATAGAAACTCTAGTCTTTACTTAAATCTGGAATGATTCCACAATTAAGAATTAATTTATTAAGAATAAAAATAGAAGTTACTCTAGCATTTTAAGCTTGTATAATAGGGTGGGAGATAGCATTAGAAAGAAGGAGCCAAGTTAGAGAAGTAGAGGAGAGACATGAAATCAGTCTATAAATATGTAGAGATTAAGCTACTTTGGGAAATAAAATAGAGATACTTAATGTCAGAAGAATAAGAGCACACATGGGTTGATGCCAAGGACTTCCAAAAGTAACACGATTTGAAGCTACAGAATAAAAAATAGAGAAAGTAAAGGAGCAAAACATTTCTGTATTTTTTGAAACAATTTTCTAAGCTATCATGTAGAGGGGAACAGGATGGAAGGAAGCAAGAGCCACACACATATTTTTGAGTCAGACTCAGGTATTATTTAGTGTTATTTAAAACCCTTTGGGTATAAGTAACATATCACTTACTTTTAACTAATATAAGCAAGGAAAAGAAATTTCCTGGAAAGATTGGGGATGTTTCATGGAAACCAAGACTAAGAATGGAGCTGGACTTTAGGAAAAAAATAGAATTAGAAACTAGACTACCATTAGCACTACCCAGTTATTCTACATGACTGTCACTCAATTCTGTCTGCAGCCTGGCTTTTCACTGCTTTACATTTCAATTTTGGCTGAACCAGAGTTTGTATTATGTAATTTCCAGTTTCAAATTGCAGAGAACTCCAATGGCCTAAATCAGATTAGTCTTTAATCCCTACTTCAGAGGTAAGGAGGTTGAGAAACATAGGAATTTATGTGTTGGAGTCTCCCACCATTGTGGATTGCAAAAGTGACAATTCTCAGGGAAACTGTCTGTGGTGGTGGTGATGGTAAAGGAGCTTGTGAGTATTATAGGCTAAGTAAACATATCAAAAAGTGTGCTATTCTGTGCTCTCTTATAAGATTTTGTGTTTACTGTGTTATAGTTGCTTATCATCAGCATCCATCTCTAGACTATAAACTTTTGCGATCTGGACATTTGCTTCTTCAGCTTTGTATCTCTTATTCACACATTGAAACATAATGTCTGCTGAACAAATGACAATCAAAGTCATTCACATTTAAACTGATATTCTTAGATTTTTTTGAAACAAGTTTTCAAACAAGTAAGAATTCATTTAAAAACTTCAGCACTGGAGGTGTTGCTCAGATGGTAGAGCATCTGCTTAAGAAAGAAGTGTGAGGTCCTGAGTTCACATCCCAGTACCCCCAAAACCAAACAACATATGTATTATTAGGCATGTATTTAAAAATCAAATGCTTCCCTAACTTTATGGGCCACTTGCATGTATTTTTGGATCTTTTTTCATACATTATTTGCTTACATTTTATTTTCTATTTTTACCTGGTCTCATCATTTCTTTGACATCATAGGTTTGATGTACTAGCTTTACCTTTTCCCAACACTCATAATAAATACATTTACAAAACATAAAATATTTGTTTGCATACTACCCAAATAATCTTTTGTACTATCTGCATTCTGCAATTTAGGAAATGTTACTACATATATTGGTTTAAAGAAATGGTTAAAACCAAAAAGTTTCTACTTTGGTGATCTACTTGGATGGTTTTATGAATAGTAATAAAAGCAATATTTAGCTTTGCATTCACTGTTTTTCACTATATATATATATATATATATATATATTTATTTATTTATTTATTTTTTTTTTTTTTTTGGAGCCATGCCCTCAGTGCTTTTTGCTTTTTGCTTTATTTTCCCTATCAGGTCTTACAGTTTTTGCCCCAGGCAAAATTGTAACTGGTATGATAGACTCATGCCACCACGTTCACAGTTTACTGGTTGAGATGGGGGTCTCAACTTTTTTTTTCCCAGGCTGGCCTTGAACCTTGATCTTCTTGATCTCTGCCTCCTGAGTAGCTGGGACTATAAGGAGCAGCCACCATGCCTGGCTCTAATATAATACCCTAAATATTTCTTTTAAGGATCAAAACCAGAGAACCTAGGGATTTGTATTTTGAATAGTCTCTCCTGGTTTTTGTTCTGTTTTATTTATTTTGAGACAAGGTCTTGCTATATTGCCACAGCTGGACTTGAATTCTCAATCCTCCTGCTTCAGCTTCCTGAGTGCTGGGGTTACAAATGTGTGCCATCATGCCTGGCTATCAGAATATAGAGTCATTCCTTAAAGAAGCAAGGCCCAGAATGTCCTCTTTTCCTCTGCCCCCAGTTTTCTGTCTTTCTGCCTTTCACCTACTTCTTTGTGGCATTTCTAAGGAAGTGTAATCTAAAAACAGTTACAAGTAATTGTGTTAAGATAATATTGCTGGTCTTAACAACTTTTGCATTTTTATTTTTGTAGTTGAATATGTTTCTGTGTCTGTTAAATCATTTAACCTCCAGGTGCTAGCTTATTTTGGAATGCAGCTGATGATGATCAAGAGCCCGACTCTCTGTTGAAGCAAGATGATACCAAAATTTCCAGTGAAGACATGAATTTCTCTGTTGATATTAATAATGAAGTCACAAGTCCTCCAGGTAGTGCATCTTCATTAAAAGCCATTGATATCCCCAGTTTTGAAGAGAGCAACATTGTTGTGGAAGAAGAATTTAATCAGCTCCTTTCTAAATCCAAGTAAGCAGTCTTTGATTAAATGTTTTATCCGACTATCTTCCTTTTTAAAAATTGTATTGTTAATTGACAGCTAATAATTGTTTATGGGGTAGAGTGTGGTTTTAATTTGTTTAAATATCTACAGTATGGAATGATTAAATCAGGCTGAGAAACTAATTCAGGACCTCACACACTTAAGTATGTTGAAAATACTTAAAATCTATACCTTACAAGTTTGAAATATACCATGTGTTATTATTATAGTCATCATTCTATACAAATATGTTTTAATTCTAATATTTTGGTCTTCTAATTTAGAAACTATTTGTTTTCTAAATGATATTTTCATCGCATGGTATCAGTGTAACTGACAATTCTGAGGCTCCTAGACCTATTCACAAATGTTAGTTATTGGATACATTAACAGTCTGAATGAATCAGAATACCTGAAGAAAAAACTTCAAAATTACATATATATGAGTATTTTGAGAGATGCAACCTCATATTTCATATTTATGAAATATTACCAGAGATTTGCTTCAAAATAATCTAGTGAGAGATGAAATGGTTAAGGGTATAAATGAAACAAAATTTGTTAAGAGTTGGTAACTTTTGAAACAGATTTTGTATGGTGGCTTGTTAAACAGTTTTCACTTATATTTGAAATTTTCTATTAAAAAACTAAGGAGTCCAGGCTGAGTGGTGCATACCTGTAATTCCAGCATGTGGGAGGCAGAGGCAAAGGATCTCAAGTTTGTGGTCAGCCTGAGCTACATAATGAGACGTCTCAAAAAATCAAAACCAAAACAAACAAACAAATAAAAATTTAAAAAAAGGATTCCAAAGTAATTCAGATCCTCAGTAAATTTGGAAACAAATTAACAAATACTCTTTGAGCTTCTGGTGTGTGCTACCACAGATGTAGGCATCAGAGATCAAGCAGTATGTTAAGCAAGGCTCCTAATTTTGTGGAACTTAACCACAAAAGCATCAAAAATCATATAATTTCATGTGACAGTTAACTCTGAAGGAAATAAAATGATCAAATGGAGTATAACTGGGATGGTAGCGTGAGTGTGACATGTGATATATTAAGTAGGGTAGTAGGGTAGTAAAGGAAGCCTCTAGGCTGACATTTGAGCAGTGACATAAATGGTGGAAGGAATGAGTTATGACATTATCTTTAGGAGGTGTGTTCTGGGTAAAGGGGATGGCAAGTTATAAAGATGCTGAGGTGTGTATAAGCTTGAAAATTCCAGAAACAGAAAAGCCAGTGTGGCTGGACATAATGACTGATTGAGAGAATGTAGAACATAACATTAGGGAGTGAAGCAAGAGCCAAATTATATAGGACTTTATAGGATGTAGAAAGGAGTTTTTAATTTATTCCATGTTCATTAAATCCAAAGGAAGATTTAAACAATGGAATGGTTTTGAAGGCTCTAGTACTTGTTTTGTAGAGAACTAAAGGATGTTAAGAGTAGAAGTTGGAGCTGGGTGCCAGTGGCTCACGCCTGTAATCCTAGCTACTCAGGAAGCAGGAGTAGCTACAGGAGGATTTAGGTTCAAAGCCAGCCCAAGCAAATAGTTCTAGAGACCCTATCTCGAAAAAACCCTTCACAAAAAAGGGCTGATAGAGTGGCTCAAGGTGTAGGGCCTGAGTTCAAACCCCAGTACTGCCCACCCCACCCCCACAAAAAAGAGTAGAAGTTGGGAGTTAGGGGCACCTGTCTGGCAAGTACAAGGCAAACCTCAGTACTGCTTCCCCCTCCTCCCCCACCCCCAAAAGTTAGGAGACCAAGTGAGATGAAGGAACCTTGGACTTGTAATAGAAGTTGTGGGAGGGGTCAGATGTTATATAAATTTTGAAGGTAAGAAAAAAAAAGTAGGAGTAAAATACCTTAGGTAATATCACATGAAACATATAAAGAGGTAAACTTGGAACAGACAGTTGATTACTTTTAATATCATCCTCACACATGATAAGCAAGTGCTCAATGACTAACTATATCCTCAGCTCCTCGTTTTATTTGGAGTAATTACAGAAACTGAAAACAAAAAAGAATAAACTGTGATTTATTCTATTTGCCTCGATTTTGTAAAATGCAAAATACTTTTATGAATAGAATTATGGAGTTTTCAAGTTAGAACTTTAAAAATCTCCAGTCCTTTGGTGTTTTTTAACTTCAGAAACAGATCTGAGTTAACTGATAGGATGAAGTTAATTGCTCTTTCAGAGCTATTAATCAGCTTTATTTATTCCAACATGTAACTAGATGTAAATCTGGTCATTTGTTCAGCATAATGTATTGATTTGTATTGATACTATCTCCCAGCTGTATGTGCAATGATGTCTATATCCCGCACTATGAGAGGCTCAGGTAGAGAGGATCATGAATTTGAGGCCGCCTGGGCTACATAGTGAGACAGTTTCAACAAAAACAGGTCTGGTGAAGTGGCTCAAGTGGAGTTAACTGATAGGATGAAGTTAATTGCTCTTTCAGAGCTATTAATCAGCTTTATTTATTCCAACATGTAACTAGATGTAAATCTGGTCATTTGTTCAGCATAATGTATTGATTTGTATTGAATACTATCTCCCAGCTGTATGTGGCAATGCATGTCTATAATCCCAGCACTAGAGAGGCTCAGGTAGGAGGATCATGAATTTGAGGCCAGCCTGGGCTACATAGTGAGACAGTTTCAACAAAAACAGGTCTGGTGAAGTGGCTCAAGTGGTAAAGTTCCTGCCTAGCAAGCATAAGGCCCTGAGTTCAAACCCCAGTACTGCCAAAAAAAAAGTAAGTGTCTGTTTTGATGCTTCTCTACGCTTCTCCCAAACGTATAAACATATGGTCTAAACAGTGGTTCCCACTGTTGAGTATTCATAGTTTCACTTAGCTACCTCGGCTCCCAGTCCCCTTTGAATAGTGTTGCTTAATCAGACTTTCTGATGTTGAAGCAGTCTGTGAAAGATAAGTTTATTTGCCTTGAAGCTTAATTAGTTATTGATTGCTTTTTCCTAATGGACTATAATGGAATGTGGTATTTATAGAGACTTTCTTTAAATTTTTTTAAGAGGCCATGCTTTGAACATACCTAATAATACTTGACATATTAGAATCATTTTTTTAATCTTAAATCTTTTGAGGTTTGAAACCTTTAATATTTTAGTTATATTCCTTTTCAGCTTTTGTTTTTACTTGCTAGATTAGACACTAAGACAGGTATTTTTAAATCCTTGAGCACACAGTGTAGCAGAGTGATTTTGAGCATAGCCTCTGATTTCAGACTGCCAGGATTGGAATCATAGCAGTATGATCATGGACAGGTCTCATGATCTCTTGTTGACTATTTTCTCATCTATAAAATGGGAATAATAAAAGTACCTATTTCATAAGATTGTTGTGAGTATTAAATGAGTTAAATTTGTAAAACAGTTAGAAAAGTGCTTTATTACCTGTCGTTAGCTTTTTGTCACTATGAAAAATGCCTGAGAGAGGCCAGGTGCAGTGGCTTATGCCTGTAACCCCAGCTACTTGGAAATTCGAAGATTAGAGAGGATTGAGGTTCCAGGTCAGCCCAGGGAAAAAAGTTAGCAAGACTGCATCTCAGCAAAGAAGCTAGGTAGGGTAGTACCATACCTGTAATTGTAGCTATATGGGAGATATATGCAGGAGGATCTTGATCCAGGACCACCTGAACAGAAATGAGGGACCCTATGAAAAGTAATTAAGCAAAAAAAGCCTGGGGGTGTGGCTCAAGTGCTAGCATGAGGCCCTCAGTTTACAAAAAAAAAGCTTGAGAGAAACAGTTTAAAGGATTTATTTTGGCTTATAGTTCAGAGCTTTTAGTCCATAGTTGGCTGACTCCATTCCTGGTAGGCCTATGGTAAGACTAAAACATAGCAGAAGGGTATGGCAGAGCAGAGCTGCTCACCTCATGGCAGTCGGGGAGTGGAGGAAGAGTAAGCCTGAGCTAGCAAGCTTCCTCTTTCTTTCCATTTTCTTCTATCAGGCCTATTGGATGATGCCACCCACATTCAGGGCAGGTCTTTTCCCCTCAGTTGCTGTTGCACATGCCATTCATCCCCAATAATGCCCTCAGACATACCCAGAAATGTGCTTTACTAATCTCCTAGCATTTCTCAATCCAATCAAGTTGGCAGTTAGTATTAATCATCATAGTACCTAATTAATATTATTTTGCTGAAGATTAAAGAAGGTAAACTTGGTACCTGACATGGGCCCTCCTTAAAGTGTTCTGGGCTGACGATATGGCTCAAGCAGTAGAGTACATGCTTTGCAAACTCAAAGCCCTGAGTTCAAACCCCAGTCCCATCAAAATAAAAAATAAATAAAAACCAAAGTGTTTTGTAAATGTTTGGGTAATAAAATTCATGCTCATTGCAAATGATATTTTGAAAAGCTATAATATCTCAGAAGGCTGAGTTTTGCTGCTGTGTTTGAGAATCTGGGTGTTTTTAAAGTGAGATTGGTTAATATGGTGAAGATAAAGACCCAATCTGATGTCTAAGGTACAGGGGAAGGCAGTAGTAGATGAAAACTAACAATTATGAATTGCCCACTATGTATAATTGGTACTGTGCTAGGCCCAGTATCTCTACTAATCTTCTCTCATTTTCTTCAACCCAGGGAAGTATATGTTGTTTTCCCTGTTTTACACATAAGGGAACTGAGAGATAAATTTGCCTAAACCATGAAGAACATACAGATAGCTGTAATACAAATGAACACCAACATAAAGAAAAAAAAAAGGCAGAAATGGGGGTTGAAATAAGCAAGAAAATATATCCAGTTAGAGTTTAGAACAAAATCATAGAAGAAGCTTACTTTTGAAATGCTCTGTCATCTACCCTTGAAGGATAAATAGGATTTTTTAATGTGTTTTGTTTTGTGACATGGTTTCACCTTGTAGCCCAGTCTGGCCTGAACTCAAATTCCTCCTGCCTCAGCCTTCCATGTGCTAGTATTACAGGCATGCACCATCACACCTAGCTTTGGAATTACTTTTTTATACTTTTTATTTTGAATTTTTAGATCTATGGAAAAATAGTAGTTCGTCACTTTTCCTGTTGCTAACATCTTACATAATCATAGCAGAATTTCAAAATCAGGACTTAACATTGGCACAATAATGTAAACTAAACTGCAAACTCTTTATTGTATTCCATTTTTCAAATGTTCCAGGATCCAAAATAGGAACCCACAGTGATGTAGTAGTTATATGTCCCTAATTCAATCTGTGATAACCTTCCATTCTTTCCTTGTCTTTCATAACCTTAATACCAAGTGCTGGTCAGTTGTTTTGTAGAATGTTTCTTAATTTAGAGTTAGCTTATACTTTTTCCATTGAATTGAGGTTTTGTAATTTTGGGGAGTACTTATAGAAGAGGTATTGTGGCCTTTTCCATGCATGATGTCAGTGGGTTCATGTCACTTATCTTATTAATGTTGCTCACTCAGTAAAAATGATACCTGCCGGTTCTCTACACCATAAAGCTGGATTTTTCCCTAGTAGTAAATAAACCCCTCAGGGAGATACTGCAGATACCCTCTTCATAAGCTTTTCTCACTGATTTTAGCATCCATCTGTGGATCTTGCCTGCTGCGGTTACTACTGTAATATTTGCCTAGTAATGATTTTTATTTTCTTCATTCTTTCCGCATTTATAATTTGGGGTTCTTCTGTAAGAAAAAGTTCATTTTCCTCTATTTATTCATTTATTCTTATTAGAAAGGACTCTATTATTTATTTTACTCTTTGAGTTACAGTCCAATAGTATCATTATTTCATTGCTTAAGTCATTCCAGTTTTGGAACTTTTAGAAGTTCTTTTAGATTGGCTTTTGTTTACTTTGGACAAGCCCCTATTCTTTTTTTTTTTGAACACATCCTATTTTCTGGTACTACAAGATATTAAGATGTTCCTGGTTCATCTTGTATTTTCCCTGCCCCAGCCTAGAAACAACCACAGAAATCAGGAACACTAGTATAAGAGAAAAGTATTTAGAAACCAAAATCTGAGTACTCAGTGCACTCATTACTACTGTTATATCTATGTGTCCAGGGTCATTTTAGCCCGCAGGGGTTTATATACACAAAACACATGTACACACATGACCCATGCATACTTACAATCTTTATTTGTAGATGTATCTATGTATATATAAAAATCCCTAACTTCACAAGTGATTATCCAATACCAGTCCAACCCCTCCTTATTTATGGCTTTGTTTTCCAATGTTGAGAAACATGACTCTCATTGCATATGCTGTACTTATTTTATTCAATTCTAGTGTATACATACATTAGTTCAGAACTGCTAAGAATTTTGAAACATATTTAGTAGATAGTGTATATTTGTGCACAGTTCTTTTTGTCTTTAGTTTTATAATAACTGATCAAATACTGTTTTCTGGAGTTGACAGGGTCTCCTTGTATAGCCCAGGCTGGCCTCTAACTTGTGATCCTCCTGCCTCTACCTCCTCAGTGCTGAGAATGAGTATTCACCATCACACCTGGCCCTCCGGAGTTATTTAGATTAGTTCTTTTCTTCTCAGTTTCTTTCAGTATGATTATGTTGTTTGCAATGCCATTTGTAAAATGGCGTCTGTAGATATTTATATTCCATTATGAGTCCCTCGTATTCTGGTTGCTTTTATTTACTTTGGAGGTATGTGAAACACTGACGTTCTAAGAGATCAAACTATAAAAAGATATGTACTCAGAGAGAAGTTGCTCTCTTCTTATTCCTACTCCTGTATTCCCAAATCCCCCTACTCCCACCAGTCTCTTTTAGGTAGCAAATACCTTTAGTTTCTGGTTTATTCTTTCTGTATTCTTTTCTCACTTATGTCTTCTTTTTTACATGAAGTATAAAACAGTGGCCTACTATAGGTACTCTTTTGAGCTTGGCTTTTTTCACTTAATGGTAAACTTGAAAATCATTCTAATCAATTCCTAGAGATCTTCCATATCCCCCCTCCCTTTTTTTTTATTTAAATAACTGCACTGTACTCTATTGAGTGGTTGTGTCATAGTTTAATCAGCCACTTTATTAATGAAGATTTGCATTATCTACACTATTTTGCAATTACACATAGTGCTACATTGACTTACTTTGTACATGTGTGTATTTGAATTGTTTTAGAAATGGGAATTCCTGCATTTAAAGTCAAATGCACAAAATATATATATATATATATTTTTTTTAAGGTAATGCCAAATTTCCTTTCAGAAGGTTGTGTCAGTTTGCATTCTAACCAGCAACATATGAGAGTACTTCTCCACAACCACACCAATAGAATATATTTCCTTTTTTTTTTTTTTTTTCAAAGTTTCTTACCAAGCTGACAGGTGACACATGGTATTACAAGTGTTTTAGTTTTCAGTTTTAGTTTAAACACTCAATTGAGGGTCATTTTGACATCTTTATGAATTGTCTTTTTCTGTCTTTTAACATTTTTCCATATGCTTTTAGGTCTTTTGCATCTCAATTTTAAAGTCTTTTTATGTTAGAGATGTATGTGAGCTTTTGTGGCATGTATTGCAAGTATTTTCTCCCAGTTTTTGTGGGGTTTTTTTCCCATATGAATTTACTATTTTTATGTAGTCAAACATATTGATCTTTTTTAAAAATTATATCTTGATTGGTGTTTTATAAAGATTCAATTCAGCTAATATTTATTGAGCTTATCATTGTACCAAACATATGCTTTGGAACTTCATATCTAGTTAAAAATTAAACAATGTAGAAAAATTGGACCTAACCTAAGAGGAGGTTTGGTTAGAAAATCATTCCATGTCTGTAAAATGAAATACTATATAATGATTAGAAACTTGTTTTAAAGACTACTTAATGAAATGGGAAGATATTCATAATACTAGACTTTTAAAACAATTGCTAAAGTTATGATATGGCATAGCTTTTCAAAGAAAATCTGTAGGAAAATTTATAGATGAAAATTCTATAAAATGTTACCAGTAGTTGTCTATAGTTTTTAAATTAGCCTTGACTTTTATTTTCTTCATGCTTGGTGTAAGTTGGAGTAGGTTAGTTACCTAACCTTGTTATTCAATTTCTTCATCTGTCAGATGGGAATAATATATAATGCCTAACGGGTTTTTGGGTAGAGATAATCAAATGATGTACCCGAAATCATGCCTGGCCCATAATAACAGTTCTAACTACTGTTTATTATTATTACTTTTCTCTGTTTTCTTCCTTCCTTTCCTTCTCCCTTCCCCTTCTTCCTCTCCTTCCTCTTCTCCCCTCCCTCTTCCCTTTTTCCTTTTCTTTTTCTTTTCCCTTTCCTTTCCAACAGGGTCAAGATATCTACCCCAGACTGGCCTCAAACTCAAGATTCTCCTCCTTCCTCTTCCTGAGTGCTGGAATTTACAGGCATGAGCCACCATGCCCAGTGACTTTTCTCTATTTTCTACAATAGCCACAGATTGCTGTTCTAACAAAAAATATATACTGTTTGTTTGTTTGGTGCTAGGGATCATACTCTGGGCCTTTTGCATGCTGGGCAAAATACTCTACAACTGCTACATCCCTAGCCCCCCAGCCTCAAGAAATAGATTTTTTTACTTATTTATATACATGTATGGATATATTACAATGAAACCCCATTGTACAATTAATATACTCTAATAAAGATATTTTTAAACAAGAAATATGTGTTTAATGCTACTTTTCTAGTTACTTAAAAATACATTTTTTTAAATTTTGGGGTTTGTTTTTGTTTTGTTTTGTTTGGCACTAGGGCTTGAACTCAGGGCCTTACACTTGGAAGGCAGGCATTCTACCACTTGAGCCACTCCACCAGCCTTTTTTTAAATTTTGAAGGTAATAAATGCTCATTGCATAAAATTGAAAAAATACACAAACATATAGAAGAAAAGAAATACCACCAGTGTATATAAATGGCACCTTTTGAGGTTTATTTATTTTTTGGTGGTACTAGGGTTTTAATTCTGGGCCTTGTGCTTGCTAACAGGCCCTCTTCTTGAGCCACATCCCAGTTGAACTTTCATTTGACAAGGATCTTTTTTTTTTTTTTTTTGGGGGGGCAACTTGGCTGTTTCCATAACTTGGCTATTGTGAATAGTGCTGCAATAAACATGGGTGTGAAGTTGCCTTTGGAATAACCTGAGTTACATTTCTTTGGCTATATCCCTAGGAGTGGTATTGCTGGATCATATGGCAGATCTATGTTTAGTTTTTAAGGAAGCCTCCATATTGTTTCCCAAAGTGGTTGTACTAGCTTATATTCCCACCAGCAGTGTAGGAGGTTTCTTTTTTCCCCACATCTTCACCAAAATTTGTTGCTATTGATGTTTTTGTTGATGGCTATTCTAATAGGAGTGAGGTGGAATCTTAGTGTAGTTTTTTTTTTTTTTCATTTTTCTTTTATTATTCATATGTGCTAGGTTCTTTTTTTTCTTTTTGTTGGTGGCACTGGGGTTTGAACTCAGGGCCTTATGCTTGCTAGGCAGGTGTTCTTACTGCTCAAGCCACTCCGCCAGCCCAATAAGGATCTTTTCTATTATTGAAACTTGGAAGTGAGCAAATAATACATTAAAATTTTTTAGATACTTTAAATGTTTTCATGGCATCTAGTTCAGAGACAACAACAGGTTTTTCATTCTTCAAAGAAAATCATCTTAAATCCTTCAAAGAAAATTGTCTTAAATGTATTATAAATAACATAACTTTTAAAGGTACTATATGCAGCCTATCAAGATGATATGTTTATATCACTAAGAGCTGAAAATATAAACCAGTTGCTGCTCGAGTCTTACCTGTTTCTTCCAAAGTTAATGCGTTTCAAATATGTTAAGGTACCTTGATAACTAACATTTGCCTTATATATCCTTTCAAGCAGCTCTTCAACAGAGGTGAGAAAAGAACTTGATGTGCCTGTGTTCTTTCCAAATGCTCTGCTGGCAGAGAGTGTGAGCATGTGCTTACAGAGCGGACCAATTGAGGGTGCCAGTAACAACACCGAAACATTGGGGAAACCAGAAATTGATCAAGTAATGGACTCCTTGCCTCATCAACCATCAGATAGCCAGAAAATTTACCAGGATTTATTGGTAAGAAAATGTAGAACATTTCATCTTTTATGAGATGGCTATTCAATATAGGGAATATTCGCCAAACTTTCCCTACATTTAAACTGATTAGGAACTTGAGATAGAAAGATTTTTGCCTAGTTAACAATATAATTTATTTCTTTTAGCTTTTCATAAATTATCACTTATATTCAGTAATTTACTGTAAACACGCCAGTGCCGATCATCAGGTACTTACCCAGGTAAAACAGCCTTATTTTTAAAATACAAATGTCGATGTTATGTCAGATTTATACTACTGTTAGTGTCAGAAAGAAAACAAGCAAGCATTTGTAAGAAGTTTGAAAATTGGAAAGTAGTGGACTCTTTATGGTAGTATTTACTAATTTTAATTCAGGTAAGCAAATGTTATTAACTATTTAGCTTATTCTAAAAAAGGGAACTAAGTAGAGTGAATAGTACAAAGATGAATATGACAGTTTTTGTCTTTAAGAGCATAGGGAAAATAATAACGGCACCGGTAACATACATACAACAGTTTGAGAAGTGTGTAAAGCAAAGGGAACACAGAATGAATTCTGCCAGGATGATCTGGTCTTCTTAGAAAACTTAGAATGTGAGCTGGAGTTTAACGGTTGAAATGACCCTGGCTGTCACTTCATCCAACCTGTAGACTTTGGGATATTTGTTTTCCTTATTTATAATTGAATATAAAGCATACTTGTATTCAGCATTATTTGCCTGCTAGGTACTAGACTGGTAGCTAGCCCTGTTTGAAAGTGAAATATGTTTTAATATGAACAGGGAGGTAATATCACAGGTCATTCTTATTTTTAGAAAGGAGGCTAATTCTAAAACTAACATGAAGATCTTTTTTGAACTCAGGACCTCATGCTTGCTAGGCAAGTTGCTCTACCACTTGAGCCACTGTGCCAGCCACATCCTAAGATTATTAATATTGTTTTTTAAATATGTCCTTTCTCTTTTCATCAGAGTCAAGTGAACCATTTATTAAATAATTCCTCCAAAGAAGCTGAGCAGCCATCTACAAAAGCAGTAGTTATCAGCCGTGACTGTGCCAGAACCCAAAATGTCTACCAGACAAATAAAAAAAAAAAAAACAATTCAGGACTAGTGGACAAAGATTGTGTTCTTAATGCAACTCTTAAGCAACTCAGAAGCCTGGGAGTAAAAATTGAATCTCCCACTAAAGTGAAGAAAAATGCACATAAAGTGGATCATGCCAGGTAAGTTTAACTTTTTAAAAGATGAATAAATTTTAGGTATATTGCAGCCGTCTCTTGAGAAAAGATGTGTTTGTACCTCAAGTCATTTGATTCATTATTTATTCATGGCCTAGGAGTGTATGTAGGATAAATAAGAGATCTTTACCTTATAAGTTCTTTTAATAGGATAGATTGCATATATAAGTATTTTGAGAGATTGTCTTATTGATTTATTGGTCTTGTTAGCATTTCCCCTTTGTAGAGATGCCAACAAAATATTTTGGGAAAGAGAAGTGAGTTTTATTTGGTATTATCTGAAAAATCTTCCTGGGGCAATAGAGTGATACACTATCTACTGTACAGTTATATAGTTTTGCCATCTAAAAAGCAGAAACATTACTTTTTTCAGGTGTATATCCACCTGTCATGTTCTGTTCAGATTCTTCTTTATCAAAGATGACTTTGTTACATACCTGGTAAATAGAGATAAAATCTGGAAATTATATTATTAAGGCTAGCAGTGTTTTCTGTTAGTTTCGTTATTGGAAAACTAATAAAACTTCCTGGTTTAAAAAACAAATAATACGAAGAATGTAAGATAAAATGACAAAAGCTCTCTGCTCTCCCAAACTCCCTAGTCTGACTCCTTCAAAGTTACTTCTCTTAACAGTTTCTCTGTAATCTTCTAGAAATGTTCTGTGGATGTTCAGGTATCTATGTGTTCGATAAAGTTTTGTGATTTTTTTTGTTTGTTTTTAGGCAAGGTCTTACTGTGTACCCAGGACTGGCCTGGAACTCATTGTAGCCCAGCCCTTGAATTCCTGATCCTCCTGCCTCAGCCTTCTGAGTGCTAGAATTACAAGTGTGTACCACTACACTAGCTTCATTTTTTTTTTTTAAACTTAGCTTTTTCTTAGGTTAGGTATATGCAGTTCTTATAAATTGCAACAGCTGCATAACACTCTGTTGTACCCTTGTACTGTAATATATTGAACTGCAGTCCTGCAGTCTTCTTTTAATGGACTTTTAGGCCAGATCAATCTCTCTCTCTCTCTCTTTCTCTCTCTCGCTCTCTCTCTGTCTTTAGGTCAAGTCTCTTTTATGTTATTTCAGACAATGCTAAGTGAACATCATTCAACAAGTACTAGTTAAAGTTTCTTTTTTCAGTGATGGGGATCTCACCCAAGGCCTTTATATGCTGCATACTAAGCAAGCACTCTTTCACTGAGCTACACTACTAGGCAAGCATTCTAACCAAGCCGGTACAAGAATCTTTATAAGATAAATTCGTAAGTAGGCAGGATCAAAGAATCCAAGGGTACATGCATTTTAAGTTTTAGTAGATATTATCATTGCTTGCCAGATTATGTCAATGTCTATTCTACCATTAGTGTAGGAGAGTAAAGGTGGCTAGCATTTTTGAAGGTTGTATTTCCATACTGCAAGATAGAGCCTATATAACCTCTGTTGAGCACAAATCTACCTGCTATCTATGTGAAACATAGATGTGTGTTTTTTGTTTTGTTGTTGTTTCTTTTTAGTTTGTTTTATTATATAATTTTATTTTTTATCATAAACAGTCATTTTCATTTTGTGCTATCAGCAATATCCATTTTAAATTCACTTATCAATGTATGAGCTAAAAAATAATAAACATACATTCATAGATAGAATTTTAGTTACATGTTAGATAGTTTTCTCAAGGAAAGGAAAACATGAAAAAATTTAATTCTCAGTTCAAAGCAATATATAGGATATTTCTATAAAGAAGTTAGGTGGCAAATATTGTAATGTTCAGCTGTATCATATTTTTTTTGTTGGTAATAGGTTTTTGTTTGTTTGTTTGGCTTTTGGAGTTTCTAGGGTTTAAGCTCAGGGCCTCATGCTGAGGTGTTCTACCACCTGAGGCACACCACCAGCCCTAAGTTTTTTCTAAAGCTTATAGTACAATTTTGCAAAAAAAAAAACTACAGAATTTGATATTTGTTTCTATTAAGTAATAAAAGCTTATTTTGGAAATGGAAAATTTAGCAAGAATAGATATGAAGTAAAATTCTACCAATCAAATTCAGCTATTACTAAAATTTTGCTCTTGTATTTCTTTCTTGGTCTTTTTCTTAAAGAATTTTTAACAGCAGACATTTATTGAATGCCCATAATGTGTCAGGAATTACGCTAAAATTTCTTGCAGTGTTATTTTGTTTAGGAGAATCACTGCTGAAGGTTGGCCCTAGGCAAAAACATGAGATCCTAACTGAAAAATAACTAAAGCCAAAAAGGGCTGGAGGGATGCTCCAGTGGTAGGTAGAGCACATGCCCAGCAAACATGAAGCCCTGAGTTCAAACCCCAGTACCACCAAAAGTATAATAATGATGATGATGATGATAATAATGTCTAGATAAATTGGTAGCATCTCTTGTATTTGTTCTTAAAAGCATGACTGATACATGAATTTTAGCAAATCAATTTGTATTCCACTTTCAACTTGTGAATCATGGCTGTGTGTATTTGATTAATTAGGACTTAGATGTCTTGAGGATTCAGATAAAAAGCACCATGAGCTTAAAGCTGAAACCTTTTGTTACTTTCATAGAATGAAAGCATTTAGAATGAAACTCTTATTACCCAGAATAAGGTAAAAGATGACCTGCTACTTTGTGTCTTTCAGTGTGTTGGCATGCATCAGCCCTGAAGCAGTGATCTCTGGATTAAACTACATGTCATTTGCTAATGTTGGCATGAGTGGTGTAAGCCCCACTGGGGTGGATTTGAGCATGGAGGCAAATGCTATAGCTCTGAAATATTTAAATGAAAATCAGCTGTCACAACTTTCTCTCAATCGATCAAGCCAAAATAACTGTGACTCATCTTTTAGCCTTCTACATATTAATACAGACAGAAGCACAGTGGGACTTAGCTTAATTTCACCAAATAACATGTCGTTTGCAACCAAAAAATACATGAAGAGGTATGGACTCATACAAAGCAGCGACAATAGTGAAGATGAAGAGGAGCCTCCCAGCCACATGAATAGCAAGAATCAAAGCCCTGCATCCATAACTACACAGCTGGGTCATCAGAAAGAGCCTCCTAGAAATGTCCATGAAATAATTAATTGTTATAACTGTGAATCTGATATGCCAGTACTGAGGAATATTACAAATGAAGTTGCACAGCCAAAAGCAGCAGAACAGTTGAATGAAAACTCAGCTTTCTTATTAAAGAACCTTAAACCAAGTCCTGAAATGAACCTCAGAACTGCAAAAGCAGAGTTTACTCAACATCCTGAGAAAGAAAATGAAAGGGATGTTCCAGTTTTTCCTGAAAGTCTGCAATCTTCTGAAACTTTAAAGCAAAGAAACAGCATGAATTCAGTAGGCACCTTTTTAGATGTAAAGCGTCTCAGGCAGTTGCCAAAATTATTTTAAATCTTTAATTCCCTCCCTCTGGTATGAGAACTGGATATCTCTGTACTTATAAGGAAGCCAAAGCCTTTCTGTAGCTTTGGGGTTCCTACTCAGTGTGGGAGTCAATCTGTTTTTTAACAACAGCCAGTTTACAAATTGCTAAATGAGTGACTTGATTGTGAGGCAAGTTCTCTAAGTAGGGCTGTTCAGCATCACTGAAACTTTAAAAAAACAAAAACAAAAACCTAAGATAGTTATTTTGGCAAATTAAGGTAAATGGACACTATTCAGCTATGAAACTGAACTGTCTTACGCTGTGTATTTTAAGAAATCCATTTTTGTTGCATGTTGCATCTCTGCATCTACCCAGTATCCATATCAGTAAAAGAAAACAAAGATATCATGATCCCAGCTGAATTAGCAAAACCAGCCCTTCTTGAGTGTAAGGGGAAAGTTATTTTTAAAAATAACTCGAGCTCTTTCATAGGAGTATGTTTCCTCTTAATTAAGATGTATATTTGTTGACCTCCATCGGAATAAAACTTTCAATCTGATGGATTGATAAAAATGTAACATCTTCAAATGTAACATCTGCTATAGCACTAGCTATCACAGAATAAGAAAATTATTGTGTATGACTGTTTCATAAATGATTTTTTCAAATGTCTTTATACTTTTAATAGAACTGAATAAAAAATGTCTAGAGTGACTGTTTTCCTTTTTCCACTGCTAAGGTTAATCCTTCCCCACTTTTTTTTTTTTCCCAGCCTACCACAAGTTATAAAAATAACAGAGTTCAGGTGCTCTTTTGTGGTGCTGGGGACTAAACCCGTGGCCTTATGCATGCTAGATAAGTACTATACTACTGAGCTACATCACAGCCTTTGGTTTATTTCAGATGAGGTCTCACCATTTAGCTCAGGCTGCTCTTGAACTAGCTATTTAGCACGGCTGGCTTCAATCCTGTGATCCTCCTGCCTCCACCTTCTGAGTGCTTGGATTACAGACAGGCCTGTACCCTCACATCTGACTCAGGTGTGCTCTTTACCCATTGCCTTCCAAAGTAATATCTTATATAACCATAGTAAATTTCAAAACCAAGAAACTGACATTATTAATAACTAATAATTTTCAAGTGCCTGTTTTGGTGTTAGAAGCTGAGGATTAAACTCAGGGCCTCAGATTCATACTGGACTAAACCCTCAGCTCACAAGTTTTATATGCATTTATTTCTTTACTTTTTGATGTATAGTTTTATAAAATGTTATCACTTATAGATTCACATAACTATCACTACCTTCCCCTCCACCCCCACATGGAACTGAGGTTTGAATTCAGGGCTTTGCGCTTGCAAAGCAGGTGCTCTACTGCTTGAGCTGCACCTCCACGCAATTTTGTTCTGGTTATTTTAGAGCTTGAACTATTTGTCTGGGCTGGCCTTAAACTGTAATCCTCCCTATCTCAGCCTCTTGAGCAACTAGGATTACAGACGTGAGCCACTGGTGCCTGGTTTATAACTACCTTTTTTAAATACTTTGCCTCCAGTCCTTACGCCTGATAATCAATGATCTGTTTTCTATCACTAGAATTGTGTCATTTTGAGAATGTTTTATAAACAGAATTACATGTTTTGAAGTTGGTTGAGATCTACCCAACCTATTTAAAAACTTCCAAGTAGTGGGCTGGAGGTGTAGCTTACGAGTTAGAGTGCCTGCCTAACAAGTGCAAGGCCATGAGTTCTAAACCTAGTACCACCAAAAAAATTATTTTCAGGTAGTTACTTTTAAGATAAGATACAAATGGTGTCTTAATGGTCATGTCTTTTTCCTGTTTTTCCATATGCATCTTTTGGGGCTTTAATAATAGCATGATTACTTGCACAGTTCATTGAAATACAGTTTAAGTAGCACAAGTGTCAATACCACTTTCAAGTATACTCTATTTAATGTTAGCTCTCTGTGTATCACCCAAGAAGTGAATGTGGATATCTTTTAAATCGCATATGAAAAAGCGCAATGTTGGTGGATTAACTGGCGACCTCAGCAGTTGCCATACATTTATTGTTAGGAGCCCTATAGTTTTTAATCCGAGCCAATTGTATTTATTGGTGGTACTGGGGTTTGAGTTCAGGGCCTCATACTTTCTAGGCAGGCATTCTACCACTTGAGCCACACTCCCAGCTCTTGGAAACCCTGTATTTTTATACCTCACAAGATGCTCTATCTGAACAGTAGAAACTGAACCTGGGGCTTTTAAGACAAAATTTAGTTTGATTACTTGTTACATCTCATTTCAGGACTTTAATACAATGTTTAAGCAGTTTGGGAGGCTGAATTTAGACTGCAGGTTAGTTCAACAAAACACTTTTCAAAGTGCTTTCCCACATGCCTGTTCATATAATTCTCATAACAAATTCCCTATGAAATAGAACAGGTAAGAGTAATTCTTTTCAGGTGATGAAACAGACACCAAGTATAATGGCCAGGGCCAGTGCACCAGCAATGGGTCCCTCCACAGGCTCTGGCCCAGTGGCAGCCAGTCCCTCCACCCTTCCTCTACACACCAGTGCCCTTTTTTATACCTTGTGATTTAACAGTTATGTTGATCCTGCTGGGCACTGGACTACATGCTGAATGTAAGATGAACAAAACTCAAGTGGCAAAATGCCTAGCAAGCAAGAGGTCCTGAGTTCAAACTCCTATACAGACCATAAGCAAAGAAAAAAACATCCATGGCCTTGTAGATAGGAACTCAATCTAATGAAGGAGAGCCATGCAAATATAAGCAATACAGTCAGATAAGTATAATAAAACTATATAAGATGTGAGAATACAGAAGAAGCTGGGAGGAAGGTCCCGGGAGAATGGTGACATTTTTCCAGAATCTTTTGGGAGCAATAGGAGAAGAGAAGGAGAGGAGGGGATATTTCTTTGCAAAAGCATGGAGATGTGAGTGGGTTCAGAACTGGAAGATGGGGTTTAGGGCAGGGATCCAACGATAGGAAAGAAAACAGTAGACCACTGGATTTGGCTTCAGCAACCACTGGGTTCCCGTCACTACTGTGCCCCAAACGCTGTGACTGTCACGGGCTTTAGTTTCCTGAACTAAACTAACCCTCAAGGGTTAGTTACCCTGTGAATCCTGACATATTGTGATTGTATAAAATTAACAGAAATAGGGCATGGGCAGGGGCTTGAAAGTCCAGGGGGTGGAAGGGTTTCCTGCATGAGACAGTACTAATCAGGCTTTGAAAGATATTGAAGAATTTCCACAGGCATAGGTGAGAGAAAGTTTTCCCTACTTTTATACTGTTTAGTGTACTTCACAACTGGAAAAAGAAAAGGGAATTCCATTGAGTTATCTCTTTGAAGGGATATCAGCATATCTTTTGCCAGCTCTGAATTATACATTCCCCATTTTTAAGGAGCTCAAGTCAGTGGAAAAAAAGCATAAAAGCCACAAAAAGGTATTTCAGGGTGTAGAGGCATGGGTGATGCTCCCTATCCCCTCCCACCCCCCACCACCTCCCATTTCCCTAACCGGAACCCTGTCTGGGTCATGGGGGACATCCTTAAAGGAAATCCTGCTTTCCCACTTCCTGGTCAGAGGCTGAACTCCAGGAAAAGGATGGATTTGGAGAGAGCTCTGTGTCCTGTCTCCACATGGGAGGTCTGGGACCAGGAGCTCAGGGGGTGCTAATTAAAAACAGTGGAAAAGATGACATCAGGTATCCAAGGGTGTCAGAGATGCAAGGCCCTCTGAAATCACTTGGTCCTCATTGTACCCTTGAGGACATAGTTCAGAAGGGACTTGCTCCAATTCACACAGTGCAGTGTACTAGACCCTGCCATGGTAGATGTGCATTTATGATTCTGCATGTGCAGAATCAGATTCATCTAACCTCAATCAGAGTCCCACCCAGTATCTCATTTAGACCTCACAGCAGTCCTTTAAGGTAAATGAGCAATCATGAAGTTTCATGTACAGACACTCAGAAGTGTTTGCAGTTACAGAGAACTGGAACAAAAGCACATGAAAAGACGTAAAGAGTGATGAAAGTTCTGGTTCAGTGGAATGAGGACAAAATTGAGAGGATGATGAGATATTATTGTAGAGGTCTTTTCAAAGACCAGAAACTGCCTGCTACTGGGGCAGTTTGTTTGCTATGTTGTGGATCATTAGGATCCTACAGTAAAGCATTCTATACATTCTCTCATCTAATCACATGAACAACTCAGTGACGAACAGCAGTAAAGTGAGCCTTTACTGAACATACCTGCCATGTTCTTAGTCTGTCATGTTAATGCATGTGTTTCTCCCAACTGCTATAAGAGGTTTTTATATAGTAGAAAATAGGAACAGGGCTAGAGGAATGGCTCAAGTGGTAGAGCGGATGCCTGGCAAGTGTGAGGCCCTGAGTTCAAACCCCAGCACCACACACACACACACACACAAAACCTCTGAGAATAGGAACAGGAACACTAATTTGCCCCAATTTCACACAGACAATACGAGGAGCCAGGATTCAAACCCTGAGCATCTAGCTTTAGAGTCCAGGAACTTACCCTGAGCATCAGGTCAAAATCAGCCCTGTGAGGTGTGCCCAAGATCACATGGGTGAATTAAGTGGTGATGTCAGGATTAGAACTGGATCTGTGTGATTTCAGAGTCCATATCCATGGCTCCTTTTTCTTCAGGGGCAGAGGGCTGAGGTAGGCATGTGTTCAGGTTCCTTAAAGCCCATGCCCTGCTTAGATAAAGTGACACCAGTTACTGGCCCTAGTTGGAAGGGATTGTGTGCCACAACTGAGGCACTCCTGAAGAGTGACTTGCTCCAGGCCCTTAACCACCTTGGAGAGGTTGCCCTCCTCTTTCCACCCAGCATAAGACTGTGGAGATAGGGAGCATTTACCCATCCCCATGAAGGCCTGTATTTCCTGGTCACCCCAGGCAGGGGCTGCCAGGCAGCACATATGATCATGGAGCCATTTCTTTTTCCTCCCAGACCATACAGGATGCACTTTTGTACTTCTCTGTGGCTGATTTCTAGGGCTAGGACTGCTAGCCAGTTCAGGGCCCTCCAAGTTCACAACCCAGGTTCCTGACCTGTGGCTTCCCTCTCTTTTAATTTCTCTCATCAGCTCCATCTCTGTCCCTCTGATTTCCTCAACATACATTTGTGGGGATCTTAGCCATCTCTGTGATATGCTGGAGAACAAACCACCGACATGATCCCTGCCTTGGAGGATCTTGGTGAGGTCCACAGATAAATGTGGTCAGCACCATGTTGGAGCATGTTTTTGGGAACATAGAGGTTCCCACTGTGCTGGGAGTCCAATAGCAACCAAGTTCCTTGGCTCCCTTTGCCCCAAGGAGGTTCACTTAGCATTCACCCTTCCCCTTCTTCCTGCAGCCCAGTTCAGTATGGTTGATTTTCCCATGGGCCTGGGGAAACAAGGTAATGGTGGAAATAACCTGTGAGAAGCAAGATGTCCACACATGTGCCACAGGCCTGAGTGTATATATGTGATTTCATTCAATTCCTTTCAGTTCTTCCAAGCCTGTAGTAGGAAGGATCCTCA